CCAAAGATATCGAATTTAAATATATTAATTCAAATACGCTACGAGATGCTGTGATTCAAACACATTGATAAAATATTAGAAATGTAGTGGTAATTGGATTTGCAAGAGCTTGGCCCCAGTTATTCCTGTGGTGGATTTATAGAGTTAGTTTTGCTGCTGTTAAAGAAAGAACACTTATCTTTAACACATATCTTTCAAGAATATACAGAAAGTTAAAAGATTTCAGCAAATACATCACCATGACATACAAGGGCAGGAAGATGTGAAAAAAGTCATAATTTTTGAAGTTTCAAAAATCTTTTCTGCATATAGTTAATGGTATCGATTTACAGATGACTCATTTGATGTAGCAAGCAAATGTATTTTGAACACTATAGATTATAGCTCAACAGCATTCCAAAGAAACTTTCTCTCTTTTTTGCTTTTTTAATTTTTTTAATATTAAAATATTAATTAACTTTTTTTCTCTTTTAATCATTTCTAAGTTAAACAACATTGCTTTCGTTTTGAAATAAAACCAAGTTGGAGGCACAGAAGTGGGAACAGAAATGGTGCTACTAATAAAAATATACTGCAGCGCTTCAACACCTTGACATAACAATGCATAATACATCTTGTTAATGTAAAAAGATAACTCACCAGCAGTAGAAAAGTAGAGAGCTAAAATATTTTACAATATAATCAGCTAAATATCAGACTGGTTTGAATCGTAATTTTAAAATTACCCTGCTGCTGTTTACATACCAAGACAGTAAAAAATAAATGACTGATTTTCCAAATGATGGAGCGTTCCTTCAGGAGCTCCAGAAAGTAAATCAGTGATGGACCAGTAAAGCATTGGATGGAGGTCAATATGAAGAAATTATAACTAAGACATTAATAAAACATTGCATGAATGATTTTTTAATGTTGATAGACAGAAACTTGCAAAATTTTATCATGCCCTAAACATTTAATGGAAAAAGGAGGTTCTTCAAGGACTTCATTGTAACTACTAAGTGAGAAGGATAATATTAATCTTGAAACATTATCTGTTTTGTCTGTATATCTCATATATCTCATTTGAGGGTAACTTCAGATTTTATTGCATGTGTATGTATTTTATCTAGCTGTAAATAGAAATAACTTTAACCATATTTCTAACTTTTAAGTGTGTGCTGAAAAACCATTTATATCAATGGCATCTGTCTTTCACTGCATTCATTAGACCAAATGCCACATATGGAAATAAAAAGCTGTTTTTTAATCTATCATTCTCTATGTAATACCCAAGATAGAAAATCAAATCCATGGACTGTTGTGGCATGCTGTGAGACCCATTCGGACAACTTCACTATGACATTTTCTGTGCCTGTTGTGATGGCTGAGCCACCTCTTTCTGAGTCACTCTGCTGACTCTTTTTGTGCCATGTCCAGAATGAATACCCTACAAAAACCTTTCCTTTTCCCAATACCTGCAGAAGTGGGCCATAGTCATGCTGTTACATGTGCCATTGTTGTGTCTTAGTCAAGACATTGCCTCCTTGCAACACAGAAAGAAAGAGCTCAGATGGTATTTGGTCTATGCCAATTACAGAGCTGGAAGCACGCAGGGCACCCTTGCCCGCTTGGGTCCCCCAGCCCTTGTGCTCTGCTCTTCTTTCTCATTGTATTTAACAAGTGTTGACAGGCTCTTACTCCATGTGGTTTGTTTAACCACTTTCTCCCTTTCTCTCCTGCAGCAGTGTCTTCCACAATTCAACAGTACATTGTCAGAAATCTGTTTCATTTTCTTTTATGCTATTCTGTCTTGGTTCACTGTGGGTTTTCCTTTGCTCACACCATTGATTAGACCTAGCAAATTGTGTTTTCCCCGCAAGGTCTACTGTTACAACCATTCCACTGTCTTTGGTGCCTTTTTTGTGTTTTACTGCATTCACAAGGAGATGGAGTACCCGGAGGCACCTGTGGTACTCAAAGTGCAGATCTCATGGAAGGGCTTAACTGCATTTTCCATTTTGGCCTTCATTCCTTTCTTAATCGTTTCTAGCGTCCAGTTTCCCTTTGACAGTTAATGAATGTCAGATGTTTCTGAAGAGCCAAAAGACCTCTCAAAAGACCTCTCTATCCACAAAGACCTCTCTTCTGAGTGGTAGCACTGTACATTAATTTGTGCATGTATCATTAGAGTTGTTTTTCCTGTTTCACTTAGCAGCATGGAAATGAACACAGCATTTTATCAACAGGTCACTGAGGACATCCAGGTCTTGGAAACATCTTGTCTCAGTTTTAGTTTCATTGTCAAGTACCCCCAATAACATCAGCAGATGCTGGTCTCCTATTATTCATCCTGTTTGTCCACTCAGTAATTTTCAGGGCAGAAGAGACCCCTTACCACTGGGAAATGGAGGTGTTAACCTCCTGTTGCTATGAAAATTGATTCCTGGCCTTTACTTTTTATCTCTTACTTGGTTATTAATCTTTTTACCCCACAAAAAAAATAAACAAAAAATAAACATACACCCTGCACAAAAAAAAAAAAAAAAACAAACAAAACCCGACCACAAATTCTTTCAACAGCACTATAACAAGGTTGAGAGGTCCTTGGAGCTAAGTATGGTATGTGTATCTACAGGCTGTTTGTGATGTTTGGAAATGAAGTTGTGGGTTGCATCAGCTACCGAGCTCCCCAAAGGTTTTTGCTGACAGCTGCTTTGGCCTTAGATGCCAACCTTGGCAAGTCCCTGGCAGCCTTTGTGCAAGGACTCTTTGCTCCTGGGTGGCTTCTCCAGCTTGCACAGCAGTGTTCTGTCACCTGCCTTCTCCAATGGCACGGGCAGCCACAACAACCAGAGGGGCTGAGGGGCAGCTGCAAGAAACCACTGCCCACTGACAAGCCAGAGACCCCTCCAGCACAGCCATGGCTACAGTCTGTTTCCCATGGTGGAGAGGAGAACTGGGGCACAGGATCCCTGCGCTGACTGGCAGGACTGCACTGCTTGAGTAGCTTTGCAGATTAAGGGCATTCAGACACCATCATGTCAGACACCACCATTAGAGGCCTCAGGCAGAGATAACATCTGGTCTGCACTGACCAGCAGTTCTCCTCAGCATTCTCCTCAGCAGAAGAGACTAATTTCCCTGTACTGTATTGGGGCCTTACTGTGGGCTGCTCCTATGGGCTGCTAGCAAGCCCAGCTGAGAAAGGCAAAACAAAACCATCACAGGCAGCAGGGCACAGCTGGTCCCCTCATCTATGACAGTCCATTCAGAATGACTGTCTTTTGGCTCCCCTCTGCAAGTATTCAATAGGTAGTAAAGGAAAAAAAAAACAAAAAACAAGGAAATAGGGAAAAGAACAAGGAACAATAGCAGACCACAGAGGCAGGCCAGAAGTACTTACTGAAACATCTGCTTTGCAAGAACTGGGTCTTGATGGCATGTGGCAAGCAGCTGCCAGTTGGACTGCTTGGGTGGTTTGCAGGGAAACTGTTGCACAAGGCTTTTCTGTGCAACAGGAGAGCACCAAGTCCCAGTCCTGGGCTCTCCTTCACCAAAAAGTGGTGTGTTCTTTTATGTGGCATGGAAGAAGCTTTCCAGTTCTCTTCCTTTCCACAGAAGAGAGCAGCTTTCAGACAGCACATGCCAAGGGAGGCCAGGAGGTAAGACCAGGACCACTACACGTGGCAGTGTGGACCTATCCGTAGCTAAGTGAGGCCGTACCACAGAATCACAGAATTGTAGAATGGTTATGGTTGGAAGGGACCTTAAAGATCATCTAGTTCCAACACCCTTTGCCATAAACAGGGATATCCCCCACTAGACCAGGTTGGTCAAAACCCTATCCAACTTGGCCTTGAACACTTCACTGTATCCCTCAGCTCTGAAGCAATTTTACCAGCATTTTGCCCTGTATAGTCCTTATTATTGAGGTCCTAAATCAGAAGATTTTTATTACTCTTCTACAGCAAATAAAAAGCAGTCACAGAAACACACCATTTGCTCAGCTACATGTGCTTAATCTTCTGGCTATAAAAATCCTAGTTATGCTTTCTTCCAGGACTTTTCCTCCCTATGGAGTAGCAGTGCAGGCAACCCAACAGCCGAGCCTGTGGCACGAGCCCCAGCATGACGATGCTTGGCTTCAGACAGGAGGCTCCCAAGAAAAACACTGACTGCAGCAAGACGACTAGGCAACCCTACACGCCTGCCTGCGCTTAGCAAGGTTGTAGTGTTCCTGTTTGCCAGCTCATCATATCCATTTCTGACAGAAAGCTTTGCTATACCCACAGGCAGCTTACAAGTACATTTAAATTAGATGGTTGTAGGATCCAGATTTCAACTTATGTTCCAAAGCGCTGCTTCTGTCATGGAAGCAATCTGTGTGCCTACTGCTATCCTTGAGTTGCTATTACACAGTCAATAACTGTCAAGGGGTACCTTACTAAAAGTACACTGTCATTAGCAGCTCTGGGTCAAATCAGACGTATTTCTCCTTGGAGTTTCTACGTGCTTCATCCATCTCAAGTTATCTGAAGATTAAATTAACAGACACAGTGAAAGAGGGGGCAGATGAGGGTGGGGTAAATTTCACTCGAGCATGCCAAGAGCTCGAGCTGCATAAGGACTACCCAGAATTTCCTCCCTCCCCCTCGCATGTTACAAACACTCGGCGGCCGGCTCTGCCGTCTCACATTTCACTCCGGCCGCCCAGAACTCCTAGTGCTTCACCTGCGGCCGTGCCCCGACGGCAGCAGACTCCCCGCGGGGTTTCTCCCTCCGTCTGGGGGCCGGCTCGCGGCTGGGCAGCGAGGGTCGTCGGGCGGGATCAAGAGGGTCGGGCCGGGCCAGGCGAGGACCGCTGGAGCGGGGAGCGAGCCTTGTCCGGGGACGACGGCGGCGCTGGAACGGCGTGCTGCAGGCAGGACCCCGGGGGGGCGGGCGTGCGGGCAGACGAGAGGCCCAGAGGGGGTCTGCGCGGGCAGGCAGGGGGCAGAGGGGCGGCTCGGGGCAGCAGAGGCGGGGCAGGGCCAGGACGATCCCAGTCCCGCCCCGCCCGGCCCGGCCCGGCGCGGCCCAGCTCAGCCCTGGGGGCCGAGCGGCGCCGTGCAGCCGGCGGTCGGGTGCAGTGGCCCCAGAGTGCTGGGAGGACTCGGCAGGGACGTAGCAGGTACTTCTGCTCTCAGCAGCCCCTGCCGCGGCCTGCCTGCCGCCTTGTCCCCTCTGCCTGCGGTGCCTGCCCTCCCGGCAGCCGGCCCGGCGGGGCCGTCGGCGCTCCCTCCCTCAGCGAGCGGCGAGCGAGGTGTTTCGGCCGCGTGGTGTGCGGCCGCCGCCGGACGTGCCAGGCGCCCGGGAGAGGACAGAGCCCGCCGGGCCCGCCGTTCCTTCGGGATATCACGTAGAGGCGCAGCGGCGGGCACGGAGCGGCGGTGGGCTGGGTAGATATCCCAGGACTGTGAGTAAAGTTTCCCGTGTGGGACCTATTACGCCGCCGTCACGTCGGGGATGTTCTTGGGTCGCGTAGACGAGCGGTTTATCACCGCAGAAAGCTGAGGTTGCTGCGGTACTGGAAGTTTGAGAACGGAATCCTGGAGTTTGAGGGGTGTGTGTGTGTGTGTGTGTGTGTGTGTGTGTTCGTGTGGGGAGCGCTGGGTGAGGGGGGAGAAGTAAATGTACCTTCCTTTAAAGTGCAACCAGCCAGGAGCTCCATTGTGAGGTCCGCCTGTGTGCCGCTGGGAATTCCAAAATACAAACCGTTGTCTAAAATACAGAAGCCAAGAAAAATAACCATTTATTAAAGGCTTTTCTGAAGCTGTAGGCTGCCAGCACATCCACTTCAAAAATAAAAAATCTCTTTAAAGTTTATTTGACTTGTCCAAAACATTGTTCTGCAGCAGATGTTTGTTGTCTAAATTTCATTGCATCTAGCACAGCTTAAATTTCAGAATGGAAACGTGTATTGAACTGTGCTGTTGATCTCCAAACTCTTTTCTGTTCTTAAAGCTGTTAGGATGTGCCTGGTGAATTATACACGTTTACTTTCCATGTGGAAAAGCTTCACAACTAAATAAACTATGCAAAATTTGGCTTCAGATACGCAGATAGTGTCTTTCCCTTTGCTGTTTTTAAAATTGTCATTTATGGACAAGTGTAAGGCTGTGTGTGAAAGGAGAGGAAGAGCTGCAATGTGTGTGGTAGTGGTGAAGGCCATTCAGTCTCTTTGGTCAAGTCTGTTAATGGATATTTGCAAGGCAGGAAAATACAATTCCAGCCTAATTGCAGTGAGCATATTGAACACACAGGCCTTTATAGGCAAAAGTAGGTAGTGGAAAGTGAAGTCCTTGTGGTTTATTCTCACTTTCCTTTATTCTCTCACTCACTTTCACTTTATTCTCACCATCTTTCTCACCACTCTTCTCCATTTTTTCAGCATGGAAATTTTGTAGGGGGAAGCAGCTATGAGTAGTTCTCCATGTTGCCCTTGCAGTTCTGCAGCAGAGCTGCAATCCGTGCAGAGCATGATGGACAGCTTACTACTTGTGCTTTATTCTCACTTGTTGCTTTGATTTCAGTATACCATGAAAATTCAGACAGCATGGCTCACTGTTTTGAAATAGAAATTTCCTATTCTTCCAGCTATAAAGTACCCAGTGACTCATGAGATGGTAAAAGCCCTCAACTCCCAATGGGACTCTTACCAGAGTACTGCAGGGAGCAGAGAGTGGAGATGTACTGGGGATGGTTGCTGAAGGGCTTCGCCATCCCCATTATCACAAGTTCCCTGCTGCCTCCTGGCAGTGGAAATTACACATTCTCAGAGGAAAATTGCATGTTGACTCCAACTGTCTTACCCAGGGCATTACCTGTGGGGAGCTGGTGAGGGGTATGGCCTTGAGTTTCTGCCTGTATCACTGTGTGGTGGGGCTGGAGAGGGCAGTAGAGATGTGCCTTACTAGGGGACAGACGAAGAGGACATGGCGTACTACACAGCATAGCTTTTCCGTGGCACATGTGCCACAGGGATCATACAGACCATGGTAGACTGTAAGGATATGAGCCTTAGTGGAGAGCCCCTGCTTCATCCTGGAAGGGTGCTTAATGCTACTAAGATCCATGACCACACTAATGGCTGTGAAAAATCCAGTGCATGGTGGTGGGCAGGAAGATTACTCAGGTGGGAATGTCATGGTGCTCACTGCTGACCCCAACTGTTCCCTCCGTCCTTGGACCAGGGAGGACAAAAATCAGCCAAATAGCTGAAGGAGGTGACTGAATTGTCTTCCAGTTGACTGTGGTTCTTGACATCATACCACTGCCTTTATTTGAGTAATTTAGCAAATGCTGGTTTGGCCATCACATCTGTGAGGAAGTATAGCCAGATTGCACCTACACTGCCGATAGGTTTACCTTTCGAGTGGTACCTGGTGGTGGAGCAATAGGGATCTGCTGGCTTGCTTTATAGTGAATAAAAATGATTTCCAGCGGTGTCGTCAAGAGCTCAAGGTATTGAGGTACCTAGTCAAGGCAGTGCTTCACACACAGCATGCCACAGATGGACTCTCTGGGTCCTTTTTGTGAATATTCCAAGCTGAGGGCCATACTTCGCAGCTACTGGCTAGTCCTCTGTGAGAATGGGACAAGGATGTTTTGAGGAGTAAAACGTAGTGGCATCAGGAAGCAGTAATGAGGATGTTCCCAGCCTGGCTGCTGCTGTCTTTATTCTTGTAGTGTACAGCAAACTTTAATTCTTCTAACTGTTAAAAAATAAGTGTGCTTTCTGAGTTACTGGCTGCGAAGCAGGAGGAAAACAAAACAAAAAATAGTGTGGCTGAAACTTATTACCAGCAAGATAAGTTGCTGCCAGGAGAGAATAAATTTTAATTTATTATATTATCTTTCAAGTAGCTTTATGCGTGATACTTATTCCCTGAGCATCCTGGCAAATAAAAATGTTACAATCTCCACTGCCTTGCCACTAGCCTGTCAGAGGCAGAGATTTACTTTTGTGATACTAATTTTGCTCAAATAATTTTGAGGGGAGAAGTAGTTGTAAACAGTGGAAGAGACCTTGTATGATTTCTGCTGATTGAGTGCATAGTCTTTGCCTTCAGCCAGGGGAACTGGTATAGCACCAGTATCTTTAGTGGAGTCATGAGAGTTTACAGCTGCTGAGTTGTGGTTGATACAGACCTAAGTCTGGCGTAGTTTTCTTCACAGAAGGAAACGTATTTGTCCTTTGGTAGACCAGTTATGATAAGTCAGCTTGGGAAAGTCTTACAGAAGCATTTATTTTGTTCCATGCGGTACTCTTAAATGATATGACCATGACTGAATATAGTTCCAACAGGCAGCCATCAGCCAGTCTGTTGAGTATTGCTAGTTGAGCTATCGTTAGCAAATACTTCCCTAGTCAAATGTAATTGTTTAATTTACAACTAAAAGTACTTGCAAATGATATGAATACAGTGGCATTTTGTTGTAAGCTAATACAATGAAAGACTGTGATAGTTTATGTGGTAACAGTGTGCAGATTATAACTGAATTATAATTAGATTGAACCTTAGCTGAGGTGAAGTCATTCTATTGAAGAGCTTCACTGTTACCATGCTTCAGAAACGAGGTCCAAAACTCAAGGGCCCAGTTCTGCTCATGGGAAATTAATGAGGTGATTGCTGACAGTGAGGACACAAAGCAACAGCTGTGTTTTTTTGGGTCATATGTCTTTTCCAGTGGGTCTGTTCAGCAAAGTGGCTTGCACCTAAGAGCTAGAATGGGGAAATAATAATAATTACAATGATGATGAAAATTATAACAATGGGTAAATGGTAAATTACTTTCTCAGAAAACAATTATAAAACATCCTGCATGCACTAAAAAATTCAAGTCAATTCACTGTAGGCTTTTGTCAGATTACTTCTTTTCTGATGGAGATAACCCAGGAAAAGGGAGGATAAGAAAGCACAAGGATGAGTGTGGGTCATCCTTTAAATCTCTTTACATTCATGTGGGACATGGTTTGCTCCTCCCTTCTTCAAGAAGGCACTTAGAAATTCATCTCTCACTTTCAAGTGCCCAAACAGAGTGCTGGAACAGAACATGGTTTTGTGATCTTAAGAAACCTGTATATAGAATTATAATATAGAATGGTGTGGGTTGGAAGTGACCTTAAAGATCATCTAGTTCCAACCCCTGTGTTTGGGAAATGCTTGTGACCCGTAAATAAATAAAAGGTAAGGTCAGGAACTCTAGCTCCTAAAAAGTTCCCTAAACTTTTGGGGCCAGTGGAATGTGTTCTGCCATCTAGCACAACTTTTTATTTTCTAACCTTTCCCATAAAAAGAAAAAAATAAATAGATCTTTACAGATTTGGCTCACATTGAACCAATTCTCACCTCATCTTGATCCTTATCCTGGTTTGGTTACCAATCTGAAGAACTGGCTGTCCATTCATCCTTAGTACATACATTGGGGCATGAGCACTGATTCTCTGTGGAGTATGCAGCAACTGAACTAACATTTCTGGTAAAACACTGAGTTCTTCTGACATCATCTGATACTTTTACAAAGCTTTGCAGATCTCTTCTGATGTTTGTATATGGCAATGGAAAAAGAAAACCAGGAGGATCTGCTGTGAAAATGCTACCTACCAAAATCTATAGGAAAACAGTCAGTCTAAGTCATAGCTTAAAGAAGAGCAGAAGTAAATTGAGAAGGACAAGTCGAGTTGTTATAACTCCTTTTTTATTAAAAAAAAATCCCCAGTGTTAAATGTATGTCTTGTAGAGACATGCAAAGGAAAAAAAAACATACAAGCAATACTTAACAAAGATGGGACTTGCTGTGTTTATTTTATTTTAAAAGGGGCAGAAGAAATCCAACTAATTTGAATAGGAAGTAGGATTGATTTTACGATGACTAGCCTTCAGAGGATCTCCTTAATCATAAATAGCCTCATTTTGTGCCATTAGCAGCAAGTAGTTATTTTAGGCATTGGTATCACGCAGATTGGCATCAAGACTTGACACCAACTTTCTCAGGGTCTTTGCTACCTTAAGTCTGCATGGGGAACAAGTATAAGCTTAGAAAGCAGTGAGTTTTCCCTGATGCTTTTGATAGCATCACGTACAGTTAGGTCCTTTTGGGAAGGAGTGAGCTGGTTGCTGTGCATGCTGGGGCTTGCTGTAACTGTTTGCTAATCCTTCTCACCACTCCTCTGTATTTTTTCAGCATGGAAATTTTGTAGGGGAAAACACCAATGAGCAGTTCGCCACATTGCCCTCACATTTCTGGAGCTGAGCTGCATCTGTGAAAAGCATGGCAGACAGCTTACCCACAGCTATCTTGATAAGCATGCAGCAATGCTAGACCTTGCTGCCTCATCATAGCCAGCACCCATTTTGCCTCTTGGGTGTATGTTGCAGCTCGAGCACCCGCATGGGCCATGGGTGACATGGCAGGACAGTGAGATTTATGTTGCATCTTTTGATTTTATTTTCAGAGCCTGCTTGGGGAGCCAGTCTCCCAAATTAATATGCAAAGGTGGCTGGAGCTGGGGATCCACACCGCCTGCCCAGAGGAGTGCTTGGAGGAGCGTGGCTTGATCTCCCTCTTGTGGAAAGTTACCGAAACTAAGTTCTTGTGATACTAAGGAAGAGAAGTCCAGCATGGTCAAACAAATGATGGCAGCAGTTACCGAGCCAGCTGATGCTCTTGTCAGCCCTCAACGAAATGAAGAGATGGACTCTCTGATTGTACTGCATTATAATTACACAGGAAAGCTTATTTTAAGGGAAAAGGCAACAGATAACATAGACCTGCCCACTGTTGCATTTCTGATCCTGTGTAGTTTCATAGTCCTGGAAAACTTGATGGTGTTGATTGCCATATGGAAAAACAATAAATTTCACAACCGCATGTACTTTTTTATAGGCAATCTAGCTCTCTGTGATCTTCTAGCCGGAGTTGTTTACAAAGTAAACATTCTTATGTCTGGGAAGAAAACTCTGAGCTTATCCTCCACAATCTGGTTTATTAGGGAAGGCAGCATGTTTGTTGCCCTGGGAGCCTCTACTTTCAGCCTTCTAGCAATAGCTATTGAGCGCCATTTGACCATGATTAAAATGAGGCCTTACGATGCGAATAAGAAATACAGAGTGTTCCTTCTCATTGGTACCTGCTGGCTTATTTCAATTTCCTTGGGTGCTTTACCCATCCTCGGCTGGAACTGTATAAACAACTTACCAGACTGCTCAACAATTTTGCCTCTTTACTCCAAGAAGTATGTTGTGTTCTGCATTAGTATCTTCATAGCCATTTTGGTTGCCATCGTCATCCTTTATGCCCGTATTTACATCCTGGTAAAGTCCAGCAGTCGTAATGTCACTAACCACAATAACTCAGAGCGATCCATGGCCCTCCTTAGGACTGTTGTGATCGTTGTCAGTGTTTTCATTGCCTGTTGGTCTCCACTGTTCATCCTGTTCCTCATCGATGTGGCCTGCAAAGTCAGGGAGTGCTCTATCTTGTACAAAGCCAACTGGTTTATTGCTTTGGCGGTTATCAATTCTGCAATGAACCCCATCATCTACACTCTGGCCAGTAAGGAAATGCGTCGGGCTTTTTTTCGCCTTGTTTGTGGCTGCCTGGTGAAATCCAAGGTGTCCAGATCTTTGCCTGTTCCGCCCACACCAGATCACAGTCGAAGTAAATCCAGCAGCAGCAATGCCCAGAAGCCAAAGGAGGATTTCCCACCAAAGAAAATTCCATCGTGTATCGCTGAGAAAAATGAATTTTCATTTCACAATGGAAACATCTGTAAGTAAAGGACTCCTTGAGACAAGTATATTTCTATGGCTTTTAGATTTGAACTACAAGTGTGGTTTAAGTACTCGTGCACTTAAATAAATGGTGTTTTCCCCTGTGACTTAACTTTGAGAACGTATTTATCAATAATCGTTTGCTTTGGGAGTTCATTCAGTAACACACCCAATGCAGAAAAAACCTTTCATTCTGTCCAACAGCCAGGACAGAGTCCATGGACATATAATGATATTGTGCATCATGATGGCATTGCATGATAAAGGCTGCATTTGGCACAGCCTGATCTTGCAAGAGATCAACAAAACCTGTTAGAAACTTAAGTATTCACTAAACACTGATGATGATTGGAAAATGATTGGGAGAGAAGCTCATTACATATGTTGGTGATTATAGTTCTTTATATGTATCTTGCTGTTATGTTAATGGCCTTATATGTATGTGGCATAAATAGCTGTATATTTGTACAATTCCTTACTTTAAAAGTCGTCATTTGGTAAAAGTTTACACTGTACTAAACATTGTATTCCAGTATACAGTGTAGAGTGACAGATTATACAAATACATGTGTTTCAATGGGGATATTTGAAATGAAGTAGTAGCTGTTAACTGACAGGAACTTTAACATGTCATATCACTGCAGTATTTTTAATTTTTTTTTACTGTTATTCAGACTTTTCATGTTTAGTGAAAGACAACACGACAGTTGTCACTGTGGCATTTCACAACTTACTTTAAACAAACAGTAGTAAATAACCACGGAGAGAGGCTATATACATTCACTATTTAAAGTAGTTAAAATGTGACTATACATGTGTATCGAGTGTATGTACTGTTTCAATGCATATATTTTTACTTACTATTTACAATGTATTTATAAATGTATGGCAAACCTATGTAAACCTGTGTACATTGTGAATGCACTACCTGAGCTGAGATTCTGTAGTTCTGAAACAGAGACATATCATTTCAGGAAACAGTGAACCACAATGGGTTCCTGTGGAGTTCTTCTTTTCTCTCCGGGCACTACCACAGCATGGGAATGCATTAGAAATTCTCCTTGGAAAGGAGTTCAGACAGTGGGACAAGATCCCATTTTCAGGCAGTGGGACCCTGTGCTTCTACTGTCTCCAGGCACTTTTGCAGATACAAGAGTGAAGATACGGTACAACAGGATCATGCTGAAGGGCGTATCTCCCTTTATATCTGACCCTGCCTTGGATCTGGAATGAAAGCCTGTTTAGTTTGAAGACTTGGAGCCCCAGACTTGTTATTTTGAGAGGCTGTTCCAGAGAAACCTGTATGAATGCAACTTTATGGTTCATCAGTGCCTTACCAGCCTCAGTACAGGATGGTGTTCAGCATCAAAGAGATTCCCTGAGACCTCGGGCCATTCATACTTCATAAACATCTTGTTTCAAGTCCCCATGGAAGTAGCCCATGGTACTTCCATCAATCATACTTCATGGCTGGAGGTTTCGGTGGATGTTGATGGGGAATTCTGAGACTGGTTCCATTGTCTTTCAGTAAGAATGTAAGCATCTAAATTTATTAGGCTCTTTCAAGGATTTGTGTTTAATATCTCAAACCACACCTTGCCTTATGCACAATAAGAAGTAGTTGAGGCTTTTTAATACGCAGCCTGCACAGCTTGGAAGAGCTCACCCTTGGATTTACTCCGGTCTTAATCATTTAAAGCAGCAGCATTAGTCTTTCCAAGTATGTACAATGTATAATGTATGTAGCAAAAGCCTTTCATTTTAAAGAATGAAATTAAATTTAGAGGTTTGCATTGTGATTATCTTTTACAAGTTAACAGTTTGCTTGTAAATGTTTTATGCTGTTAGGTGTAAGAACAAAAAAACTATTTGAATGAAATAACTGTGAAAAAGAATATTAAATATGACATAATTTCTACTAAAAATGTTGAAAAGCGGTGCACTTACTTAAGAGGGAAAAGCTAAGCTAAGCGTGCTATAACTGAACTGCAGGTACAGGGCTGGGTCAGCATCTCTATAGCTTTGTGAAACAGCTGACATTTGCATTGCCATGGCTTGCTTATTTTTTTAGATCTTGTAGTGCTATTTGGCTGTATTTTCAGTGTCGAAGTTCTCTACTGAAGTTGTGTCTTCAAAAACTGCAGCTAAAATATTTGTATACCTCTAAGTGTTAGTGCACGAGGTGGTGGCACATGGCAGCATTCCCTGCTATTGTAGAGCACAAAGGCCTTAGCAGCGCAAGGGTTTGAGAAAACATTGTGGCTGATCCCAAACCAACAAGGATGTTATGCAATTCTCACTGCTTAGGTGAAAAAAAAAGAAAAACAGCTTTAATAGTCAAAATCCAAAAACATGCACATAAAAGTTAGTTTTAACATCTGGAGTCTAGCCTTAGCTATTGTCAGAGTTGATGCAATGTACAGGTAATGCAAGCAGACTCCACTGTTGGAGGCCATGTGATTGCATGTCAGTGCAAAAACCTTTCACTCTGCTTTGATTTCCTTCTCTTAGTTTGGAGCTGTGGGGATATTTTATTAGTTCACTACCCTGCTGTACTTGAAGCAGGCTCCTAAGTTTCATAGGTTCACATGTAACACTGATAGTAAATTTACTGAGTATTTAGGACTAAAGAGACTGTTATGGGTATATGTCACAGTGGGATGTACCCACTTAAGACTGTTAAGTAAAGCACAGCTTCTGGGCCATTTCTGAGCAAAATTTTGAAGTAGGACCAAGTCAAGGGCTTAACAGCAGTGGACCATAAGCAATCAGGAAGATATCCTATCCTAGAAGCTGTAAAGGATGGAGAATAGCTCATTTCACCCTAAAATATTAGAAAATTCTTCAAAATACATTCTAGCATCCAAGCTTTTCATCATCTAGGCTGATTTGAGCATGCAAGAAACTGAATTAGGTCTCCCTTTCGCAGTTGGTTTTATGCAGAGCAAAAGCTACAAAGGAGGTATTTTATTCATATTATTTCATGAATTGGAATATTTATTTATATTCTGAATTACAAAAGAAATGCAAATCAAAGCACTTAAGGAGAAAAAAAAAGCTTTCACAAGAGTCTTTCCAAGAGTCTTTTATTGCCAGCAGTCTTGCAGAGCATTTTCAATTCATTAGGTACCATAAACATTTTGAAAACTTTTAATTAAATCTTAAACCTTTAAACCAAAGTTGTGTGGCAATTGTTTTTCAAAGAACTTTGAAGATGGCTTAGGCCATCTGCGGAAAATGTGCACATTCACACTGGGTGTTGTGCCTATGGGAATGCCATGCAGTCAAAGGTGGTAGGTTCTGTTTCCACTGTCCCTGGATCAGAGGAAGGCTTTGCTCTGCTTTCCTGGGAGTGGACTCAGTCCCTGGGCTCACCTGCTACGAGGGCTGTCTGCTCCAGCAGCAGCGCTCACAGTGGCTCCATTGGGAAGGAACATTTTACAAGGAGAGGCTGTATTTGGGGTGTCGCGACATGTGCTGGCATCCACTCTGTGTAATGCCACCAACACAACCAAGGGCACAGCTCGGACCCTTGACTTAGAGGGGAGCTATGAACCCCATGGCTGTCCTGTGCTGGGAGTATTGCCTTCTCATGGCAGGCAGGCACAGCAGCAGTGACCAGAGGTTTCTGCTTGGCCACCATCAACTGGGAGGCTTGCAGCAACCCTGAGGCCCATCTCTCCAAGAGTGGGGGGACAAGAAGAGGGGGAATGAGCGAGCTGTGTGGTTCTGAGTTACGGGCTGGACTTAAAACACAACAGGTCTCCCATGGAGTGGCATGGAGACACCATGCAGAGGCATGCAGAGGTGTCCTGGTGCCCATGCTGCCTTCAGACCTGCATTTATTCCTGAGAGCAACCTAACTTCTCAGGGCAGCCCCAGGCTCAACTTTTCTTCAATCAGGTAAGAGGGAAGGGCTTTTACAAGGAGACTCGTGGATGGTGAAGGAAGGTGATTTTGGGTACATCAGTCCAGCCAAGTGCCCTTCTGATGTGGAGCCTTTCTCCCCTCCACAATCCACTAAATACCTGCTTTTGCATGTAGCTTGTCCTTGCATTCATCCTCCATGGAGTGAGCTACCCTTGGCTACCCTCACCTGTTCAGTGTGCCAAGCACGAAAGCTAACTTTTCAGGAGACAGCATCATCTGGCCCAGAAAGAGTGCCTGTACAAGCAATTACTTTCATCGCGAAAATGGTATCTGTTGAACACATGGAGACCAGTGTTGCCTTTGCCAAGGTAAGTAGAGCTCCTCTGGTGTAAAGTGTAACTGAGGTCAAGCTCCTCATGTGCCATTTGGTCCTCGGACAACTTTTATCCCTGTGTCTACTGAGACGAGCAGTTCATTGACTTATAAGTATTCAATATCCAGGTTAACTTTGTAGAATTGAATTTATTCTGCTACAAAATGAGCATTCTTTCAAGTAAATAAAAAAAACAAAACACACAAACCCCCCAAAAACGCAACAACAAACAAACCACATCAAAACAAACAACAAAAAAAATATGCATAGGAGAAAAGACTCAAGCTCACTTTGCATGCATTCCAATCTGACAGTACTGCTGATTATTTTATTACTTTGGTTAATCGTATACAAACTGAATAATCAGAAAACAGTTGTATAACACTTATATTCAAAATTCTGTTGCTCAAGGACTTCCTCAGAGGCAAAATTTTCCTCTATAGCCAGAATACCACAATCAGCAGACAGGCAAGAACTTGAGATTCACGAAAGTGGCTGGGAATATAAACAATCACAATATTTCCACATACATTATTTTTTTCTGCAATTCTCAGTTAAAAATGTTTCTAAAAGTAACAAATATTAATAAATAAAAAATTTACAGTCAAACTTCCTTTCACAGCAAAATAGCCATTTTTTTTGTTTTGCCCACACAATGCAAAGAAAAATATTTACCTCAGAAGGAGAAACCTGGCTTCTTTTGAGGTTTAAGTCTGCAAGACTTTACTGAGAAGCAATTACCACACCAATTCAGCCACAAAGGACACAAATATATACCAATTATAATCTTTACATTCTTCAGTTAACAAAATTTCTCTTATTTGGCATGAGTAAATGCCCAGGTGTGTTCGGTGGGTTTTGCCTCAAGGACAAGTAAAGGAGGACTGCTGGAAAAACTTGTCATTTGACCTGTATGTTATTTTACCTTCCTGACAGTTGCATAAAATGTAGATCTGCATCTTAATCTCAAATCTGAGGCTACCTTCCTTTTCTGAGTCATCCATGCTGTCTCCTACGAAGTGGGGTAGCAGAATGAGTCATCCAGCTTTAGCTTTTTTCTTCCTTCCTTTGGTTTCCATGGCCTGTTCTGTTGTCAAAAAAAGGTTTAAACACTGTTTATGTGGTACTTTTGCTAGAAATGTGCAGCTCTGAAATCTCAGCCTCCTTACTGAGACAAAAAAAAATGCCCCACTTTTTCTCAGTGGAAGCCATACAGGATGCTTATGTTGGAGTGTGCAGAAAAACAGATCAGGTCTTATCAACATATGTGTCCCAAAAAGAGATGTGCAGTAGTCATTGCCTGAGTATTTTGCAGTTCCCATTAGTTGCTTATGTGCCTACTGGCTCGTGTTTCCAGTTTTCACATTTCTTATCCCTGGGGTTTTCTGTACCAAGACAGCTTTCCACCCCCTATCCAAGCCTCTGGTTAACTGCAAGCAAATTATTTGTCCATGTTATCTTTTCCACAGGCCTGCCCTCATCCCAGCTGCATCCAATGCAGATGTGAACAAGGTCCACAGACACTTGTGTGTGAGTTAGTAGAGTAAGTATAGCTGAGCACAAAGCTCTTACTGGGAATTTCCTCATCTCCTGACAGCTTTGAGCAAGCATAGATTTGTGGAGAGTGCAGCCCTAGGTTCAAGCAACAGGACCATGCAAATCAACCTATTTTTGACATAAACTAAGGTAAACCTGAATTTGGATTTTATGCAGACATATTTTGAAAATGTCTGAGAGATAAAAAGGGAAGTGTGTCTGTTACTTCAGCTTAGACTTCATTTATGCAAATATGATTTACTTAATATAAATCCTTGGTTCTACCACTTACTTCAGATAGGCATGGGATGCTAAGAACAAAGGCTTGAAAACAGGATTTGTAACCTTTTGTTAGAACATTCACAAGTTTCAACTTTCCCCTTTAGAGCTGCAAATTTCCTGGAGGCTGCAAAACTGCAAGTTTTCAAATGGAGCATTTGCTACTTACAAATACCTAAATATGTATCAATTCTATTATGAATACATTGTAGCTGACATCTGGCACTTGATGTGCCAGCAGCAATCACACCGTGGTATACATTTTTTTAAATTCTCCAAACCTTACCGTACAACATGATGGTTAGGGACCATGATAGAAATGTGAGATATTATTCTACAGAGGATAAAAAGAATGAACCCAGGATATAGAAAATCTAGTGCTGGCAGGTGACATTTGCCGCACTGTTAGCAAACATTTTCTTCTGGTGACAGTGTGCGTTTTGCACTCAAATCCTGGTCCCAAGACTATGTTCTTTGTTCAAGCTTTTACTGAATATGTGTGGCAGAGGTTTCTGGCAGAACAAGTATTACCTCCCATTGTGAACTCTGTAAGATGCGGGGGGAAGCTATTGTATTAACCTTCTATCCTCACTGTGTATGCAAAGCCCTGGGCAGGGAGGCAGGCAGTAAGCCATGGAAATTCTATCTCCTCTTATAGTCTCCACCCAGGCATGGCCAATTTGAACATCCTTTTTTAGGGAAGGAAACCTGGGGAGTCCTCACTCTGAGCAAACGCACACTGAAGTCAGAAGGTAATTCAGTTTTCAAATCACATTTTCTGCCTTTGAGGTTTCTGTGCTTCTGAAGCATCTGAAGTAACTGAAAGTTTGAGAACACAACTGTATCTCAATATCCAGTCTGCCACTGCCAGCCATGCTGGAAATTTTTATTATCCTAGTATTCATTCTAGACCTACAATAAAATGAATCAGAAGCATTTGGTTCACTCCTGAAAGTTCTTTGTTTGGAGGAATCAAATGTGTTTTCATTGCCCAGAATTCACATAGTTGCAACAAAGCTGGAGTCAAAATTGATAATCAGATACTACTCAAAATCAATGTAGTCAGTCTTGCAGGATATTTAGAGTTTCATTTCTGACTGCTCAGCTCTCACCTGGGAAAAATCAAAGGATATTGTCTAAACACAAGTGATTTCTATTGCTTCTAGTAAATTTGTTCATTCAAGTAAAATCCCCCTTCTTAAAGTCACAGTACTGAATTATCACCAGCAAGTGTCCAGCCTTCTGGATTGAATGAAAAAGAGTAAAAACAAAAGGTGAAGGGACTCAGAACCAAAGATAAACATTAAAAGGCTCAAATTATTATGCTGTCAGCAGTCTGGTTTTCAGCCAATTGCACAGCATTTGAGCCCATCTCATAACTTCTCTTAAATTGTTGTCTCTTAAATGGCTTTTCATAGAAATGAGCCCTGCCTCTCTAGCAGGTTCAATTAGCTGTTGTTGAGCTCTAACAAAAACAGGTTTGGAACTGCTGTCCAAATGTCTATGCAGTTTTTATGCCATTTTCATATAGGGAAAAGCCAAACATACAACAGTAACAGAGACATAAAACAATGTCAGGATCCACACAAGGAGAATTGATTGGTCCACATGCCCCTTCTTCCTTGGCAGCTTTGGTTCTCAGTGACTTAGAAAAGCTTCTGGATCATCCCATCTAGCCAGACAGGATCTGCTGGACCACTGCAGCAGCAGGGGCACTGTCGCAGCCCAAAGGCACTACCATTACCTAGGGCCAAAGTTCATCTTATTAAGCTACGTGTAACATTTGCATCATCAATGCGCATGGTGAGCTGGGCAAATTGGCTGTGCTGACAGAGCAGTTTAAAATAGCCACATTTTCCTGGAGGCAGAGTTTGTGAAAGGTACTCTGGGGAATTAAATATTTCTGTCAAGCTGTTTGTGTCTCCTTGCCACCTGCTTTAATTGCCAGAACATGCAGCTAAGTGGCCGCTAAGTTATTAAAGATGGTAAAAAAAAATCAGATTCTTATTTCTGTGTATATTTAGTGCCTTCATTCATACACCCATATCTTGTCACATTCTTCCAGGCATACACTGACAGGGTATTTAGGAATCTAAAACTGACATAGGCAGCAGGTGGGATTTTTGAAGGCACCTAAGGGGGTTTTGGCATCTGATTCTTACTGAAGTGATATACAACATTCAAAGTGAATAAGAGGTCTTCTCCTATAGTTAGTAATATCACACTAAACACTTTCCAGGACACGGCTATACAGAGATGAGAGCATGATATGACAAATATTATGCATGACAGAAATGGTGGCAACTGATATACTTGAAGCTGGAATATGGTGAGACATGGATGCTCTTAAATAAAGTAGTTTTGATGAATACTGCTTTAGGGTATAAGATCTCCTCATGTTCCCTTGCAATTTCCAATCTGGTAAAAGGACAACCCAAATGTAAGGATTCCACTAACCTCAGCACCATACTAATTTGGGTTGCAATGCAGCATTTAATTTTGTTCCTTTGCTCTCAGGTCCCACCCAGATCTAGAAATAACAACTAATTAGTATTCACAATAAAATTAATCACAAGTATTTGGTTCACTAATGTCATAGTTTGGCTTCTGAATGTCTTGAATAAAAAAGTGTATTTTTATTCACTGCTCATATGATTCATCTTAGGTGCCTCAATCTTTTTTGCTCTTGAGATCAAACAAAACCAAACTTCCCAAGTTGCAACTTCACTATATTTCAGAACAGAAGGTATAGGCAAAATATATCCGAATTTTAATAAGATGATCCTACCTGAATGACTCCTTCAGTCAGTTTGCTTGTAGTCTGAGAAATTTTTAAACTGAGCAAATTCTGAAAACCAAATCTAATTTTAAGTAGATTTAAGTATTGACTACTTCAACATAGGCAGGTGCTTAACCTAGACTTACCCTGCTGAGTCACAGCCTTTATGAATCAGGTCTGAAGATTTGATTTGAGATACTGGTGCTAGAGAAAACCTTGGAACACTGAAGGCTAAATCCTTACTCTGGCACAAACTTTGCCTTTATAGGAACTATGTCTATTGAATTTGGCTTTTGATAAGCTTTGTAAATAGGAAAATAACTTCATGTAGTGTTTGCATTTGAAGAGTACAAATCTTTCTAAAAACCTTTCCCAGTACCAAAAGCCAAGGACGTTTTTGCTAGAAATGCATCTGTTTTTCAACTTGATATTTACAGAAAAGCAGTATATTTGCAATACCCATCACTTGTTGAAGGCCGAAGTGAAGGTTTTGGTAGGTAAATGCAAATGGCCACTGAGCCATGATAGTTTTCACTATTTATAAAAAGAAAAGATTTTTCAGTTACGTCTCTGAACAACCATGTACATCTTGTACTAAACCTATTGAATGCAAGTTATTTGAACTTGCCTAATTGGTATGCAACACCTCATTGGAGACTGGTAGTCAAGGACACCTAGATCTTCACTATAAGCAGAGAACTATTTATAAATAGCCTTAGCACTCAAATTAATAAACTAAAGTTACTGAATATTGTTATATTATCATTAGAAAAATCGAATGCACACGTTTTATACACAGAGAGATCACACAAAATCATTGTTAAAGCAAGATACAAATGTTTTGAGTAGCATCATATAAGAATTCAAACGACATCAGAAAGAGAAAATGATTTTGATACCAGTGACACTGAATAATGCTTTTAAAAAACATTTTATGCTAAATTTCTGAGTTGGAATACTAATTGCTGAATTCAGACTCCTTCCATGGCTAACCAGCATAATCCACTTGTGATCCCCATAGTTGTGCTTCTTAGGTAAAAGCAGAAATAAGATTCCCAATACTCCTTTTCTTAAGAAAATGAGACTGATGAATTCCATTTTTATCTGAACAATTACAATTGAAATTTTTCTTCTGGTAAAAACACATGGCACAGAAGATAGTTCTATACCATCAACAGACTGACTTGAAAAATATAAATATATATTGTATTTATATACATAATGTGTATATATACACTATCAATATTCACATTAGGGAATCTGAACAATTTCATTTAAATTACTTTCTAAGAAAGCCTTCTGCTGTGACTTCATGTCTACATAAAGCATTGAGAATTTTCAAGTGTACCATGTGAAATGGGGCTTCTTAAACCTAAAGAAAACATATTGATGAAATATATGTGAATATCCATAATTTTTTTAATGTACATGGGTTTTTTTTTCAGATCTGCAATTTCTACCTGTTATAGCTTACAAATTACAAAAACTAAAATAGTTATCTGGAGTCAGTACTTCCTCTCAGCAGGCTGCTGCAGGCAGAGCTCACTCCCAGAAGAAACTATTGGCAAATTATTCTCGAGATGGTGATTGATGAGATGACTTATGCTGTCAAAGACACGATCTTTTGTGCGAACCTTAAAAAAAAAGGATGCAAGAAGATAAATTAAAGAGCAAAATACTTTTTCTCCTAACTTCATACTAAAATTCTCTAAGAATAAGATGTCACAATTTACCATGTTTTAGAGACTCATCCCTTTTCTACCAAAATCAATGGAAATTTGGCATTTCTGGAGTTTTTGTCTCTTACTCCCTCTATTTTCTCCAAACAGATATTTTGCATGCTACCTATAGGCCAGTCTACTTCTATTACTCTTTTTGAATAGATCTGCTTGAAAACTTTCTGCACATTTTGTTTCGCTATAAGATGGGGTTTTAGATCAGATTTTCCTCTTCAAGAGACCACCTGCTCCCTTTAAGTGTTTTCACCTTTTTCATTAGAAAAAGTTGTCCTTCCAGAGGTGCCACAACCCAGCTTCTCCATGTGCCTCAGCATCTTTGTGCTTTTCTTCCTCTTCAGGTGCTAGAAAATTCCTTTCCCTGAAAGGGATCCAGCCATCACATGTGCTTGGCTTGGGTTTGCTCCATGCTGCATGGTACACCACTATGCCTTTGAAACCAAAACACTCCAAGGCAGGGGACATAATTTTTCTAGCCCATTTACCAGCCTTCTTCACCACCATCCTGCTAAGCAAATTATTATACCCATGACAAGAGGAAACTCATTTTGCAAGATAAAACAGTTATCAGGACTGGCAAAAAAACTAATCTATATTACAAAACAATCTTTAATTATTTAACCACATCTTCACAAAATATTTCCTACCTTTGTTTAAAACTAGTTAGTCATACAGCTTCCATTTGCCTATCAGAAGTCCTCTCTAACAAATGTCATGCTGCAGTAAAGCTTTGTATTGAGATGGCTCTACACTGCCTCAAGCAAAAGCCTGTAAGCACTGCTCTGAAGTGAGGCATGTCATCTATTTTCCTTGAACCTTTCTCAGAAACAGAGAACAACTTTTGTTAAAAATTGCCAAAGCCAGCTAATGCGGTGGTGGGCACCTCTCTTGAAATATTGCAGTCTTCATCATTAAATTCTAGCAAAACTGCCAGAAACTTAGCAGAGGATATCACAGGGTAAAAATACAAACAACAAACTTTGATGGCAAATGATGCTATCTGCTCAGTCTGCAGGTAGCTGAGTTACTGAAGAAAACCAACAGGCTCTCCCAATTCTGCTTTGAAACATCACTTTCTGTAATTACTCAAAGCTTTCAAAATGAAAAGTTGTCTTTAAAACAGCAGTAACTTTCCTTATCTGTATGCAGAATAACACATTTTGAGAGCATTTAACTCAGCTGAGATTTTTCTCACAAGTGATATGCTCTGCCAATCACCAGAGTTCAAGCCCTAATTCCAAACCCAGCAAAAATCCTGCAGTCCTCCATTTCAAGCTTCCTTTACCTGAACTAGAGTTTGGGGTTTTTTTGTCAGCTGGATGAGAGCAGAAGAAACTGGACAGTTAACTCTGCTCTGGAAACACACCCTGAATAGCTGTAACATGTAGCTGGGTAATTTGTGTGTGAAATGAATTCTCAGATAGCCTTTGTGTGATTAAGAATAATCATGCTGAGGCCACACAGAAAAAATGTAAGCTGCTGGCATGCTGCCGTGGCTGGCCACACACTGGCATTTTATTTATGACTCTCCATTCTGACAAGGTGCAAATAGGGCTGCTCAGGAGCTGTGTCAGGATCCCACAAATCATATAGACAGTGCAGCTAACGTAAACACAGCTGTGGGAAAGCTGTGCCTCCTGAGCAAGGAGATTCAGAGCCATTTGGGCCATAAGGGCACATCACAAGTAGCCTGAGGGAGGGGATTAGGTACAGAGAACAAGCAGGTATCTACACAAGGAGGTCAGCAAATTAGTGCTGCTCTTAGAAGCAGTCCTCTGTCCTCTGCAAAAGGAAAATGTCCCAAGAGTCACCACAGTACTTGATGCAGTTAGCAGAGCAGAAGAGCTCCTGGTAGGACATAGCATCCCTGCACTTGTTATGGCACAAAGCAGTGTTTTCCCTGGAGGAGCCTGTAACAGCGATTCTTGGATTTATGTTGAAGGGAGAACTAGGAGGCCCTGCTGCAGGGTCACCAAACTGCTGGCAAAAGTTTAGCAAAGGAGGCGATGGGCCAGTTCCCCAGGCTGATGTTCCAGTCAAGCCCAGGACTAGGTGGCTGACACCTAAACAGTGCAAAGCCATTCTCTGACTGGCCTCATATGGCAAAAGTAATTACAGAAAATACCACTGGCATTTCTCACCACAGCATTACAGACTCTGGAAGACCAGCATAATTCTGCCACAGGTTTCTCATCTGAAACAGATGCCAACAGACTAACTCCTCTATGGGAGTTTCTCATTTACTTTTCACACTTGTCATCTAAAGTTGCCCTTTAACAGAGGAAAAGGAGTTGCCCACTTTTGCTACCAGGAACCAAGAATTATTTCAGATGAGACTAAACCTCCCCAGAACAAGGACCGGGCAGACACAGAAAGCTGGAGCTCCCTTGCCCTCTCCATCCTGCTGCTGGAGGGTTCCTTTATCGGCCAAGGTTGTTCCTGTGCAGCAAAGAGCTGGAGCAGGTTTACCCCAGTTCTCCAGTACAGTTTCCTGTACATAAACTCTAGGCTTATGCTGGCATGCAGGCCAAACTTGCACAGCCAACAAGAGCTTCCCAGCAGGAGGGCTAAAGAAGTGGCTAAGCTGCACTTTTGACTAAGACAGTCCTGCAGCAGCCTAAGCTTGACCTTGTTAGGGAATCAGGTCCCTAAGGTTCCCTAAGGTTCCCTGCAACATGCAAAAATCATGCAGTGGGTCTTCTGCTAGGCACAAGGAAGAGAATGAGAGATGTGATGGCATATTAGAGATATGAGGCTGTAGTATGATCAGTTGTTAAAAAGCTGTAAATAAGATTAAATATGTTTAGAGAAAATGTGTTGTCAGAAACCTCCTGTATTACTGAGGAGTCAGTGCTTACAGTTCCTTCTGGGTCCACCAAAAGAAGATGCTTGGCTTGACCATTGTGCAGGCCTGTCAGCACATAGGAGCCAGGATTCGTGGTACTCTTCCTCACAAGAAAGTCTCCACATTTCTTTAATAGCTGTTCTGCTTCTTTCCTGCTCATCTCTCCTTGATACCACGGCTCTGCACTCAGGTCTTCAGCTACAGTCCAGTCAGCTCGTCTGGACAAAAGAGGACTGGTGCATCCTGTGGAGGTGGATTTCCTTGATGCAGCCACAGATGTTTGGTTCTTGAGGGCATCTTCAAATGGTTCTGGTTACGGAAACAGAAACAAGGACAAGATCATTCATAGATAAATCATGTTAAAAATGGTGATATTCCAGATGTTCTTAACTAGACTTAATTTGTGTTATAGCCACATCCCTTTATTTGTATGAAAAAAACTGAGGGAAGGTATACTGCTAGGCCTACTGATCAAAGGATTTTATTGAGATTGAGGAGTGTAATATGTTAAAAATGTATGTTATGCACAGAAAGATGCTGATAAAAATCAGAGAAAACCTTGGCAGGAGGTTTTGAAAGTTACTGCTTTTATTTTGGTAATGGCTATTGTAAACAGTTGCATTTATATGCCCTGATACAAGGCAGAGCTCTTTTTTTGCCTTACCAGGTACATCAGACAGTTTCATTTCAAAAAAATTGCATAATATGGTTACCCAATTTCATTATATCTGGTCTCTCTTAAAACAACATATTAATTTAAAAATAATCCATTACTGAGTCTCCAGCCCACGGGTATGTCTAGAACGAATCAGCCAATGTTACCACTCAGCCTACCCCTAACCTCCACTTACAAAGAGGACTTTGCAACTTAGACACAGGCTAATACCTTTAACGTGATTTACCTAGCTGAAATCAGCCTTGGGGAAACATCTTTTAAACCTCAGCTATATCCTGAACTCAGTGCTACTTTCTGTAGAGTAGAATAGAAAGATGTGTCATTACAGATCCTAACAGTCTTACAGAAACAGTAAATAGGTCAGTCAGCGCTTCATTATATGTACTTACTTATTGGAAGCTCCTTCCCCTTGCCAGACCTCCATCTGACCAACTACTGAATATTAAAAAGAGATGTTATTCTTTTCCCACTAGTCTTAGGGAAGGACATCTGCAGAACAGTATGGTGGAGCAAGACACCCGCTCTAAATAGTCACAGATGCAAGGTGTATATAGCCATGTTTGCATGGGGCCACAGAGAGGTTAATTTAGCTCAGAGAAATAGGGTAAATACTGTGCTGTCACAGCTTATTGATACTTCAGCTGATTCTTACAAACAACTTACATATGTCTTCACTTCATTGCCCTCTGCACTGAGCCAAATGTGCTTATCTTGACAAAATACTAACTTAAGGCTAGGTGATACATTTTCTAATGCTATTTTTCCTTAACAACCCAATGGTTAGTAAAGGTTAATGAAGTTTGGAAGACAAGAAAACAATTTTCCCTACTCTTAGGAAAAGAATATGTACAAAATGGAAGCACGCATGTGCATGTTTTAAGAGCATAGCCTCTTAGAAATCAAGGTTAACATTTCTGATTTCAGACAGCAGATTTCTCTCGTTTCAGATCCATATTTACAAATACATACTCCCTAAAGTTTCTTTCCTCACTTCTCCTTTCAATCCAAAATCTCCCCAGGCTGTGGAAATAGAGGCATATCTCAGCAAAAACATGCCAGGAAGACAGTTTTATGTACACTGAGATAACGGAAACGTAGATGTGTTATTTTACAAATAACATATAGGCACCAACTGCTTTGTCTCACTGCCTCTTAATTATGTGAACTGAATTAAAAAAATCATGTGTCAGCAACTGATTGGAGGTAGGAAGAGTAGAAAAACAAATAAATTTTTCTGTGCATTATACTGTTTTCCCAGTATTTGCTGTTAAGTGTCTCCTCAAGGCTGAAAATAATGTGTACTGGTAGCACCGACATCAAATTATGACTGAAGCTTAAAAGCAGTTTTACAGTTATGGCTATGATTTTAATTTTGGAAAAGACTTCAAATTTGGAACAGATACGTAGATCTGTATCAATCTGTGTAGTATGCCTATCCAGAGCAAGGGATAACTGCCTTTTAATTTCCCTCTCAAAGGCAGGGGGAAACTTGCACAAAGCTTTTGTAGTATGCATTGACTTCCTAGTAACATATTCACAGGACAGACTGATGCTAATTCTCCAGCCATGCACTCTTTCACTTTCTTGCATGACAAGCCTCCTGATTTTTTTTTTTTTCTGAAGTAGTTGCCTGTGATGCTAAAGACAGCATAGACTGCAACTCAACTTAGATATAATTCAAACTAGCTTAAAATCTTCAGACACCCTTATTTTCCCTCAGTTCTATCTGAAACCACCTTGAATTCCATAATTCACCATAATTATACCAGGAATACTAAAATTTGGAGTATTTTATAATTATTTTTATACAGAACTAATGCATAAGTATATTGGGTCACTTGTTAGAAAAGGAAGTGAACAGGAAGGTAACTTACTCATGTCAAACAGATCCTTTCCTGGGCTGCTTGCTTTGATATCATCTGCTGTTCCACTGAAGGTACTTTCAGCATCTACCTGAAGTGCCAGTAGAGCTTCTACATCTATATGCTGGGTGTTTACGTATGTTGGCATTTCTGCTGTTGAGGTTACTTGTGATTTCTCTTCCAGCATATCCAGAGATCCTATAAAATTCAAGATTTTTTTTGTCTTCTTTTTTGTATTTGACAGAACAGTGTTGTTACAACGGCTAACTAACATCATACCCCATTACCACAGGTTTAAAACTTCCTGGAGAAATGTAAAGTCAATAACTGCAATATCTAATAGAAAGAAATATTGATGAATGGATATAGAACTATAACCATTTTCAATGTGGATATTCCACAGTATCCAGTTTCAATGAGGGTTTGGGGACAGGTATTATTCAGGAGAAAGGAAATGGAATAAAATCCTCAAATCTGTCCAGACTAACAGCAGATAACATATTCTGGCATTTGAAAAGCGTCTCCAAAAACACAGTGAAGCTGTCACACAGAGGTGGATAGGGTGAAATTTTGTATGTATATTTTGATGTGATTTGCTTAAAATTCATAGGCAACAACAAAAAGAACATTACTCATTATTTGTTATTCATGGAGCAGAGATCATGCGCAAACACGTGCATTGCTCTATATTTTAAAAAAACTGCTAACATTATGTTCTTCTTTTGGAAATTCCATCTTGCATACCGTAGTGGGTTGATTTTCAGAACAGACCATGCAGCCTGTCTTTAAATACCCTGGAGTTTTAAGACATGGGCAGCTAGAGAACTGAAGATTTGGGGCAACCCTATTTGTGCAAAAGATAAGATTTTATGAAGGTGTGCATTTCATAATTTATCCAGAAGTAATTACCAAATGCTTTTCTCTGCCATCAACATTAAAATTTTGAAAAAAAAGGGATCTATCACGAAGTGCAGTTCATCGACTTAAGACTTTGGGGCATCAGACTTTCACATGCTTTGCCCATCTGAGACCTCCCGCAGTATTAGAGTAAAAACTAGTAAAACTCACCTTGCTTAACAGGCACATGATGCCAGCCTTCACCAAATTTGTCTCCTAAGTGACGATTCTGGTAATAAGTTTGCTCTCCTCCCAGTCCTGCTGCAGACTAGAATGGACACATGTGCAAAGAAATTTTCAATTGCCTTTAAAATGCTCAGATAAATTATGAAGGGCTCTAACAATTTCCTTGGCATGTATTCTGTGTACTCCTACTCTTCATTTCCAACTCATCATGGTGTCAGAATACATATGGCAAAAATGCATTTGTGTAGGAATAAGATATTATGGTGACCTTCGTGTAAACTTCCCTGCTCCTTGCTTTTATTAACCCTTGCAATCCCAAATGATGCATTATCTCCTCCAGTACATTTGTCTTCACACAACAAGCCCTGACAACTATGCCCTGGAAAAGCGTTCCACAGAAACACACCTGGGAACAGAAGATGCCCCCAGCACTCTCCAAGCATGAGCTGAAAAACTCAGATCAGTACCAGGGGATGAACTCTGGCACTGAAGGGAGGATGTTGACTACAAACAAGGCACTTCTGGATTTAAGCAGAGGTGTGCTGCATCTGAAAACTCCTCTTGGAGTTGGCTACATCAATACCACAGTCAAACTTTCAACAGCAATGGTAGAGATTGCTGTCAAAAGCAAAATCTAGAATCTAGAGACTCTTGTCAAAAGCAGTATCTGTTGGCAGAGATAACCAAGCTGACCTTAGTGAAACGTGAGGTGGAAACCTACTGATCACTGATCACTGCTGAGTTATTAATATAATGAACCATTAGTAATGATTGTCCTAGATCGTTTATTCTGCATCAGATCTTTCCCAGTTAGTGAGCATTATTTGATACTCTCTGAAGCATACAGATGTAGTGACCCTCAGTGGAGTTCTCTTCCTTGAACCTGTGTAATCTTTTAACACCATGGGGAAATCATCTCCTTTTGTTTGTTCTGAACCTGCCTAATCTGTAGCTGCCTGTTCAAAAGGAAGGTAGCCACACACGAAGGACTATGAGCTATAAATGGTCCAAATGTAACCATCTTAAAATACACATTTTTTAAAAATGTGGGATCCATCAGCAGGAGGGCAGAGATGCAACTACACTGACCTGAGCTGTATCTGCAGCAGTGGGAAGTCTTGCTTTGAGCCTGGCATCAATGAAGCCGCCAGGGGGGGGCACTTTATTTGGGATGTTGTTGTAATAGGCATGTTGTTCTGTTGGCTCATTATCTTCCTCCATCCATGGCTCATCAAAACTCTGCATCCTGTAAGAAAGTGTTTTATTTTGCCCCTTGCTTGCAAGTCACTTACACCTTGATACCTGCAGCCTATTAAGACTGCCTGCCAGGGGATCACTACTGCATATTATTTTGACAAGTCAGCTACCATTACAAATCAGGAAGCCATGATGGATCATGCAGCAGACATTCTCTGCTTAGACAAACTCTAAAACCCCTTTACAATGGATTACATTCTTCATACTGAGTAAAGGATTGTTTTACTTAGCTTTAAAGACAATTATAAACTACATTAACAAACAATTTTATTTAACCTTACAGTAGTATTTGTAATATTATTACTTTATTGATCGAATACACTCTAAAACTTTGACTTTAATTATGGTTGCTCTATCACCAATATAAATCTGGAAGAACTTCAGAAAGTTAAGAGGTAGGATTTGTGTTTTCAGTCTACATTTAACATTCATTTACACAACTAAACTAAAAGAGTACAGAATGCTTGCAAATCAGGATAGTAGCATTTTATATTCACTATATACCCATTTTACTCTGATATAAGAGATTACACAGGGTACCAGCTCACTGAAATTTGTACTAATGTTAGCAAGCATATAATAATCCATATCAAAAACACAGCTCACCAAAGAAAAGAGAATGCTATATCCCAACCTTTCAAGCATATACAAGCAAATAGATTTTGTATCCTCCAAAGAACACAGTCAAATCCTCTGTATAATAAATTACATTCCTAAAAACTTCATCCTGGTTAATATCAGAAATAGTGAAACATCAGTAGTAATTCTGGAAGTCCAGCAACTCTAGCTTACTTCATCTAAATTGATAGAGCTGCTATGACAGTAACAATGAGGAAATGCCACAAATAACATCCATTCTTGGCCATCCAACTCTGCCTACTAACAACAACAGAAAACATATGATCATTTCAGTAAGTTTACTATGAAACCCATATTTAGCCCATTCTCTTAAAATGACTGTGCTCCTTCCGTATTCATTAGGCATATGCTACTTTGCTAATTCAGCAGAAATCTCTTTTTTAAGTGTTTAAATCCCGTCTGTCCGCAGCAACTGCATCCACAGCACATTTTATTAAGTAAATACAAAGCTAAAGAAGATCCTTTAGCAGTCTTCACTGCAATCACACTCACCTATCATGGAAAGTAGGTATCTTAGAAGGGCATCGCAAGTATTGCTTAAATCGAAGCTCGAACGCTTGCCCTATGGTGCTGATGACATCCTGGGCCAGGCCATCAGAGCATTCCAGTATATGACAAGCTAAATGAAAAAGATTTGACACATGTGCATGTAAATAATTGTTTATGTTATGCTGGGTTGCACTGGCCTATGACAAAACACCTACATGTCAGGTATAGTTGCCCTATTCATGGTGTTCACATTTCAATAAAACTCAGTGATGGCACAGTGGATTTCAGGCAATGGGGTCTTTTTGAAGGTTATGTAAAATTGCTCTGTTGTGCAACTGCAATACCACAAATCAGTTCTATAACTTTTCACTTGATATTACCTAAATGCAATAGATTATATAAGAATTCTAACAAAGATTTAAGTTGAAATTATAAAAATATTAGTAGATAGTAACAACAAAAAAAAGCTTTCCTTGCTTTAATCAATTTTATTACCATTTCAGTTTTCTGTCTAATCATGCCAAGTTTGCAAACTCTTCACTTCTTCTGAGCTTCTGGAATTTCCCAAATTACAAGCTGAGGGAGGAAAAAATAACTAGGATACTTCCTAGTATTTTATTTTATTTGATTCCAGTAATACAGAGGTTGGTACCTTTCCCTGTTTGTATGGAGATGCTCCCAGCAAACTGTAGAATCAGTAGGGAGCACAGAGTCAGGACCTCGATTAACTCCAGCACTCCCCCATGTGCCACCTCTCTGAACCCAGTGTGACAGAGGAAGTAAGGAGGGAGGCTGGCAACACAAGCTCTCTTCCTATAGGAGATGGAGAAAGCTTTATCAACTGCCTGAGCAGCCAAATCCATCCCAGTTTTAAATCAGAGAGTGGTTTGGAAGTATTATCTTCATGACAACATGAACAGGCAAACTCATAAAGATTTCACCTAACTGCATTTTAGTATACACCTTGAGTCCAGCTCAGTGAAATCAAGTGCTTTGATTGACAGTGTCCTACAAATAAGGGCTGGTCCTGACATTTGAGTGACATGATTTTAGTTGAAACAATATAGGGAGACTAAGGAAGTTTAGCAATGACTTCTCAGCTTGCTGGGCAGACTTTTGAAGAGGCCAGAATAAAGGGCCAAGAAACCTGCAATTCTGCCAGTACAGAATGACCAGGGCACATGTGCTCTCCCTCAGCAGCACCTCTCACAGCCTGAGATGGCACCAGTCACAGTGCTGCCCTGCTAAACAGAGCCAGTGATACTTTCTTCTCACCTTATAGCACTTGCTGTGCTGAGCAGTATGCTGAGGCAATGCCCGATTCAAGGCAGTAATGCCCTTAGCTGCATGCTGGAAGTGGATTCAGCAGTCAAAAACAAGACCTCTGTGCATTCAAAGACAGAGGCAGACAGCCCTGGCTAGCAGCAGGACATCTGCTGTTTACTCTTTCTGCTGGTGGCAGGTGAACAAGCAGCCCCCAAATGAAGTGCAGCCTTACCTGCAAGAACATGGACCAAAAGTAGTTAAGCCAACCAAAGCTACAATTTCTGTATTCTATAGCTCGAGTGTGGATTTAAAGAGACCACACTGCTCATTGCTAAACCTCTCTGGAGCTGAAATGAAGCATGAGTCATAAGTAGTTTTGGTGGGTGACATAATGAGTAACCTGTTTCCCTGGATACCTGAATGGACTTTCAGCAGGTAAGAGATGTGCTTCTTTTAAAAGCATGAGAAAGTTTGGCTCACACAGAGATGATTTCTTGTGAATGTTACAGCAGAAGACAGACAGTCTCTAGCTTGCTCAATCCAGAATATAAAGCATGAAGAGAGCGTCACACTTGGGAAGAATGAGTCTAATATGCCAGTGAAAGCATCAGTGCTAGTGTCTGTAACAGCAGCAGTAACATTTTTCACTAGATACAGAAGTAAATTTGGACTCATTTCTAAACTATTTGCAGATAACACAAAGACTGACAGGCTGACCAGTGACAGTGAAAGAGGGCAATCTAGATCCCTTGGTACAATAGACCTTTTAAAACAATGTGTTTTAATACTGGTCACATGTAAAGTCACCAATCTGCAAACCACTGATGTACATACACAGTCGTGGAAAAACGTAATGCAGAAGGCTTAAAGATTGCAGCATGAAGGAATTTCATGTGAGATAACAGTGGTTCACTGCAGCAAAAAGGACTTATGAGAAACCAGCTAATGATGAGGATGACAAAAGCAAGTAAGAGTAGGAAGGCGAAGCCTCTGTTATAGATTGCAGGCATTAATACTAGATTACTCCAAATAATAACAGGCATCATTTCTGTTTTTCAAACAGTGCAGAAAAACGAAAGAAGGAGGAACAGAAATTATCTGAAGGAAGGAGGGCATGCACTGCAGCTGGAGATCGACCAGAGTTCACTCTGCCAGAATTTTCCTAAGGAAAACTGAGAAATGGCTTGAATTAAATACCCCACAGGAAGACAACAGCAGGTGTTTAGATGACTCTTCAATCTAGGATAGAGTAGCTCAACAAGGAACAGTGACAGGAAACTAAGGCTAAACACATCCAACTTAGATATAATAAAGAACATAGTCTATGAAACAGTTTATATGTAAAATCCATTTACACAGGAACAGAAGACAGAGCGCAGGGATCCTCCAGACCCTAGAGTACACACATCTGGTCTGTGATACTGATCCACTGTATTGACACTGAGATCTTTCAGAGAAACTGAATCAGTCTCCAGTTTAGCAGAAAGGTACTGCTAAAGCAAGTGGGGTGGGAAGGTCTGCATCATACAGCCTGCAGTTTGATGCCAGAGTCTTTCTAACTGGGGGCACATGTTGGAGCATTACAAGCATGGCAAAGAACTGGACTATTACCCTACCTCCCACTCACTGTGTTTTCTAGGTGTTTCACTGACATTCAGCATAGTAGTTTATTTAGTGCAGGTATTATTTATGAGCTAAGTCAGACTTTCTCAAGTCTGGACATCTCTGCACATTGACAGGTTGTTAAGGTATCTAAAATAATTAAAGGTGACAAAATACAGAAGCTGCAGAATTAGTTGTGCCCATGGTAAAGTGGCAGGTCAGAGTCTGCAGAGTTCACATTTTGGATTGAAAGTGTCTGAATTCTGCAGAAATCCTGTTGGAAGTGCTTGAGTCCTTTTTTGGAGCTAGTCTTTCTTTTCTCTATGAATCTATGAATAATAAGTAGGTTCTCAAGAACATAATACACTTTGTATCTAACATTAAGACCTAGTCATGCTTTCTGCATTACAAGCAGGAATGTTTTCTGTACCTATTATTTCTGACTGTAATTTGCACTTTCCATAATTTACTTTTAAGACTCTGAACTGGGTCTTTGAAGACAATCAATGAGAGAGGCTTGCTGTCCCTGACTGCTCTCTCACAGAGCAACCCAATGTTAAATAGAACTTTACTGAGAAAAAGGATAACAGCCCTCCAGCAAGCTGGCTTGAAAGCTCACTACCTAGTAAAGAATCTGATTCCACCAGGAAGAATTAGGCATGTACCAAGAAGACCTAACAGATTCAGCTGCCTCATCAGGAGACTTAATCAGAGGACTGCTTAGTTCCTGCATAGTGACTGGGTGTAGGTGAGAGTTAACTGTTGCCTAGAAGCTCACACAGTCAAGTTAAGGCAAGCATTTAATTTAAGAGATGAAGAGAATCAAAGTGATATTTGGAGCTGAACTACAGGCAAGACCTGTAGGCTCCAGGTTTGAGAACTGACTTGTGCATAGCTGTTCCTTTTTGCTGCATAATCTTTCCATTACTCTGTCAATGACAATTGTTTTATTGGTCTGCATTTATTCTTTTTTTCCTGGGGAAAAGAAATTCAACTGAATTATACCATGAATAATTCATATTTCTCAAAGGAAAAAAGGTGCCAAATAGGTATTTCAAACTTACCTCTCCGATTAACAGGATCCTTAGCTACATATGCAACATAGTCAGTTGTATCCTGTCAAAAAATTAAGACAGCTACAATGAATGCAAAAAATCTTTGCACTGATCATAGCAAAAGATCACAGTTCAGAGTGTGCATATTCCTGTGGGTAGAGCCTCAAATGACATGTTTTGCTCTGCAGTTTATACTACTTAAATACCACAAAAAATCTTACAGGCTCGATACTAATCCCACCACTTTGTTTTCTCCAGAATGTGATATATTCTGGCAGAATTTATATCTTCCAAAGCACTGGAAAATGAGTTAAAAAAATTGATAAGATTTTTATCAGGCCTCTTTTAGAAGGGAGTAGAAATACAAGTTCTCATGTTCAAATTACTTAGAGATTCTGGTTCAGAACATGAATAATCAACTGGTTCTGAGGCAGAAAGAGTGGGAGTAACAGCCCTGCTCCTCAGAAGCACTAAGCAATGCTGTTTATTCATGTGTATCAAGCAGGTGTGTTTACTGACTACAACGCCATATGGCACAGGGGTGCTCAGCCGCAGCTTGGCTATGACAGGAAGTATTCCAGGACACCCTTCTCCAGCCCATGTGCTGCTTCAGCCATGCCTGTTGCCACATGCCAAGTGGATTTTCCTGCAAGACCAAGCCAACATCTTCTTTAGGGATATTTTGCTAGCTGTCCTGCCACCCTCATGTTCCTGTGAACAGGCGGTGCAGACTTTCACCATTGTGCAGATGAAACAGAAAGGCAGGTGCTTCCAGGAACGTGAGGTCTGCTGGCACCTCTGGAAAATTACATATATTCCTGATGTGATCAGGAAGTCCTGCTTAGATCAGATATTTTCTGACATGCCTGGCTAGTCAGGTATAGCTAAACCCAGCAGGTATACATAGGATACACAACAGCTAGCTGCATAAATATACACAAAGCAACTCCAGGTAATTGAACCAAGACCATTGACAACTATGTGAAGATCTAATGTCATAACAAACTTCAATCTTCAGTTGAAAGATAAATCTCTTCAGCTTAACTTTCTCGAGTGCAAGCACACACAACCACAACCCCATCCAAAACAATTAATTGTGCTGTGTGTCTATATAATTCTCTTTCAAAGGAGACAGCAAGGGAAATGAGGAAGAACGTTCATGATTATGGTGACAGATGTGCAGCCGTATCATTTAATGTGCTATTGAAAGGCATTCAGACACAGCAGTAATGAGCTTAGTCTGTGAAGAAAGTGGAGCATAGAAGAGTAGCCCTAGCAATTTGTCCAGCAATTCCTTGAGCACCCAGTGACATAGTGTTTGGGCAATGACTTGTGTGGAAGTAATGATGCATATCAACAAGAAAGGGGATGAGAAAAGTGGTTATGTCTGGAGTAGCAAATAAAAGAGAGACAAGGTAAAGGCCTGAGAGCTGTTCCACAGTTGTCCATAAAGTTTAATTGTTGCTACTCTCCCTTGCCTGGCTGTGCTGGTTTCCCATGTCCTGCTCTGAAACATTCTGAAGGACCAGCTTATGCTGGGCATGACTCTCTGGAGACCACTGGGAGGGAAGACAGTGAATGTGTGGATGCAAATTTCACCATGCTATTTCATTTCGGGCCAGAAAACAGGCCTGGGATCATTTTATTTACTGGCACAGATACAGCTGATGGACATATTCATGACTGAGTAAATCACAGATCTATCTCATAGCTAGTGTGAGTGTGAGAGACTGGAACCACCTACTCTCATCTAAAGATTCAAGCTGACTATGACAAACCATTAACCACCTAAAGTGGGCACATTTCATGGCAGCTAAATTAGAAGATTCCCATCAAAAGGCTAGACAGGGCTGGGCTGATGCAACAAAGTGGTCCCTGACATTCAAGGACTGAAGACAGGTATGAATGAGCTATTATTTTCACTCAAAGAAACTGTCTTGCAGTGTTAAAATTCAAAGGCAGGGCTGAAACTGAAGAACTAGTGCCTTCAGGGTCCTCTGAGAGACCTGCCTTATTAGACCTTTTGAGAGCTTTTTGAGACCTCTCAGAAATTTCAGCAGGAAATACAGATGTCTTGTCTGGCTGTCTGGAAATACCCACTTGAAATGACTATGGGTGAAATTGTTTAGTGCATCATAACAAGGGGCTGAAGAGAGATAAAGCAGATCCAGAATACAACCTTGGAAGTCGAAATTATTCCATAGTAATGTGTAAAAAGGATTTGGTGGAAAGATTTTTAAGCTCTCATGTACTGACACAGGCAGAAGCTGTCTGACTCACTGCAAACAGGAATATTGCAAAAATATGTATGATACTCAGGCTGTTCTCCAAGTCTGTGGGACACTTCTCCAGTGGATGTATTTTGAATGATTATGGTACTTAACGCTTAGGGAGTGGGAGGAAAGTTGAAAAGCTAATTGCTGGTGCAAATGTGTGGCAGATATCCAGAGCAGAAAAGTAGTGAGGGGGAGAAGCGGGGACAATCTCTCTTTTAAATAAACTAAACTTCAAAATGTGGAAGCATTTCCTGAAGAAACACGGGCACAGATCTGTTTCCTAGTTCAGTATGGCCTTTCTCCATCCATTTTAAGTCTCTGAGGAGAGATTTAAATCTGAGGAGATGAGCTTATGAGCTGGATCCCAGCTGTGTTTGGGAGATATGGTTTGGTGGTAGCAGCCCTCCAGGTGGAAATTGTTAAAGGCTAATAAATGGTATGTCTGGATGACACTCAGATAGGTTAATAAATGTCTGAACTAAATCCCATCCTTGCATCTTGTCTTCTTCTGTGTGCACATAGGACAAAGGAACAACCTCCTTTATGAAACAGCTTTTGATTTAAAGTTGTGCCAGATACCAGCCCACTGAGACAAGTCTGTAGAGTGTCATCAGATACTCATACCTACCCTTCTCCACCCCCAGAAAGAGATCACCATGCACTGGTCTGATTGGGAACACAACTTTTCAATTTCACTCTCTTGCAGACTCCCTTACACCACGTAATTTTATTTCTCTGGTAGTTCACTGGCTTGGTAGGATGATTTTTATCTCTCTCAAACATTTGTGAGAGCTTGTTTACTCCAATTCCAATCTCTGTTGCTGCTCCTCTCCTCTTTCCTGGTAAATCTCTCTATCGGTGGGCAGTGTGCAGTGGTGTTTCCAGGACTTAGCATTTGGGATGGCAGATGGGGAATGAAGAATCTTCTTATGGAGGCAGGGAACTGTGCTAATCACTCCTCTGCCCACTTCAGAAATTGTTCATTTACAGCATTCATTGCAATCTGTTGTGTTTCAAAGCTGCTTTTGATGCATTCTGTGTTCCCCAAATTGTTGTGATATCATGTCCTTTTCCCTTCTGGAACTGAACTGAGCTCAGCAGAGCTACGCTGAGGCTCAAGTTTGCCCTTAAGTTTTCTGAGGATAGTGAAATGAAAAGAGAAAGTGTGAAAGATCTTCAACTTAACAGAGTCAAACTGAGAGAATTAACTCACAAAGCAGGCTAGAAATTGCCTTACCTGTACTACATGAATGATAAATGACAGCAAAACATATGATGGAGGAAAAGGCAGACTCAATTCACACTCAAACTAGGTTTAAAAGCTTTCAGACCTCTAAGGTATGAGGTGATCAATGTCCCTGTTTTATAATTCTCCCGGGTGACAAACACCTTTTAAGGACATTTAATATGCCTTTGGATGGACTGCTTATAAAAACAGGAAAGCATAACAATCAGGTGTCTGCATTTTAAACTAAAAGAACCAAACTTGTAGGTGTATCTGAAAGCTTTGCAGAACTAGAAAGAAAGAACTGGGATATTCCTGGAAGCCTATCTTTGAGCTGCATGAGTGTAGCAAATATCACAGTATCACAGTATCACAGTATGCTAGAGATTGGAAGGGACCTCGAAAGATCATCTAGTCCAATCCCCCTGCCGGAGCAGGAACACCTAGATAATGTTACACAGGAATGTGTCCAGGCGGGTTTTGAATGTCTCCAGGGTAGGAGACTCCACAACCTCCCTGGGCAGCCTGTTCCAGTGTTCCGTCACCCTCACTGAGAAGAAGTTTCTTCTCAAGTTTAAGTGGAACCTGAAGGCAGGATTTATCACAGTTCTCTCAATGCACACTTAGAGACATGAAGAAAAAAAAAAATTAAATGCATGCATTGCTATAAACATAACTGCAACACAGTCTGTTACTGTAAAAAGTACAAAATAAAAACCAGGACAGAAATTCACATAATAGCCATATGACGATACTATATTAATCTGGAAAACAAAGCCCTACTTGTCAGTTACTATAAGAATGCTCACAACCCTTTGATACTTTTTGTTTCAGTCATTCAAAGAGGAGGATCTATGACTGCTTGTCAGTCACTTCCCTTGAAAAGAGTTTGATGACAACAATCAAGAAGAATTTATGAAACAAGAAACAGGAGTTATTGTGGTTAGAGTTTTCTTTCAGTAAGCTATGCAATAAATTTTGCCACACAGTTCTTATACAGCAATACCTACGTGTGGGAAAGCTTCAAGGAAATGCTTACCGGATCACCTCCAGATGCAAAGGAAATAGATTGCATATGGTGATTTGCTATGATCTGTATGGATCAGAAAGAATAAGTGTGAATCAGTAGGTTTTCTTACAGTTTACCCTCTTGATTTCTTTTTTGGTTTGTATAGGGGTGAAAATCCAAAACCAAGGTCAAAATCCTGTGTTTCACCTACAGGGAGTGCAAAGGGTAGCACGATTATAATATAAACAAAGATGACTGTATCTATTCTGGTGTTCTTTAAAACATAGCAGGACATGGCAAAATTGCTAAGTGTGCACAGAACTCCAGTAAATCATATAGCTCTGTCATACAGTATCTTTGGAGAAATTTTAATCTGCTAAAGCTCGCTTTCTTTATTACAGATAGTGATGAATGGAGCAAAGGGTCCTATTCATCAGAACACTTTTCTGCTGATGAAGCTCTGGAAAAATCAATGAAAACGTGCAATATCTACAGCACCTAAGGATTCAAAAATTGCTTCTGATACTTAACTGTGTCATTTTACATTTCAAATACCAACGTGTTTCCAATATGCAAACAGAACATTGACTCCAGCTGCAATGTAGCATTGTAGACAAAATCTCAGGCAGACTCCAGAACATTTGAAATTCAATTTGCTTATGTGCAATTTGAACTAATATGATATTTCCCTGAGAAAAGACAAACTGTTATGAAACTCTAATACAAGGAGAACAGTTCTGCTCCACTACTATTCTGAGATTTAACTTACGAAATCTTTTAATAATGAAATCATGTAACAACCAAGAAAGAAAAGGTCATTGGAAAGAAAATTTCACTTGATCACTTGAGTTACAGAAACTATGCCAAGGAATTCATCTGGTACAGGACAATGCCCTTATTTAGTGCCTCAAAGCATGTAATTTGGATTTTAATTGCTGTCTTTGGAGAGGGTATCAGATACTTTAGAAAACCGTTTTGGCAAAAAATGAGGCTAAAATGATATTTTCTGGGCTGTTTCCCCCATCCTCTATCTGAAAGACCTGAAGCAGCAACCATCTTCCTTGATGTACAAAAAAGTACAAAAAAGCTTGACATGACTTTCTCTGGATCTTGCTGCTTCACTAAGTCAGCAAGAGTTGACAACTATTTATAGTGCTTATATTATATAAAGAATGCTTCATTTTCAATACTCCTGCTTGTCCCACAGGAGCCTCTCAAGATGTGGTTAATGTTTAAGTGTTCATTGGTGAACCATTGTTGCCTTACTCGTCAGTGAGGATTTCCTTTTCTTTTTTCCAGTAAAGAAGAAGTGCTTTTAACAATGGAGATGAACTAGTGAAGATTTGTTATACATCTGTCATTGTCACTGTCTTAAATTGTGCAAATAACCTGATCTTTTACTTCAGCATCATAAACAACAAAGTTGTTCAGCATCATAAACAACAAAAATTATTTCAGATTCCCTCAAAACTTATTTTTCCAAATTTCAAGAAAACTGAAAAGTTCTTGAAAACATCAGTACAAGTCAAACACTTTTTTCTTTTTAATTCCTCAGCTAAATGTTTTAGATTAGTTTGAGATAGGGATATTCCCTCCCCCACACCAAAATGTTGACACAGCAAATCATGAATGCCTTGCATAGCTCAAAATGAAATGAATCAGTAATGCGTGCACATAGTTTAGAGACATTTCCATCTACCCAAATCTGCATTTTAAACAAATAAACAACAACAAAAAAATTTTCCTCTCATCCCTGCTTAACATGTTGTCAGAACTGTTGTGCACGGGTATGTGCAATTTTTTTCCAGCTACCTCAAGCGCTAACAATAAATGCCTTGTCTTTTATTTCCTTGTGGCTCCTCTGGGAAAAAGAGGCTTCTGCGGAAGTTCTCAGCCATGTTCCTGGGAGGGGCTGCTGGGCCACGCTTATTTTCAAATCAAATGCTTGGCACAAATAAGAAGCAAGGGACACCACAGCCGGGCTGGGGATGTCTGAGAAACCAGACATTTCCCAGGCCTGCAGCATCTCGACCGAGTTGATCTCAACAGGAATGATGTGAGAGAAAGATAAACAGTTTTGTAAACTCAGAGAAAAGAGAAGGTATCTGAGGGAGGATTCTTCCCTGCGATAAGTCAGTTTAACTCCATTTCAACCCTGACATCAGCCAAAGACAAGGTTGCTTCAGGGTTTGGCACTTTTTAAATAGATCTAATTAACATCAAGTTCCTATTCTTCTGACCGGGGGCAACTGTCCTTATGAAATGCACTGCTGCGTATATTCCACAATAAGGCTCCAAACTACTGCAATCAGCCATAACACTGCTCCCACAGTCTCAGTACTCACTATAGAAGATTATGATGATTTCTAAATAAGGATAAGAATGAACATAAATTAATGGCAACATAATAATAAACATAATAAAAAAGGAAAGCTTTTTAACAGACAATGTATGAATTCTTTCTGATTCTTTAACCTGAGGCTCTGAAGGACTGCAGGATGGTATTTTTTTCTTCCTCTCTTGCTGTATCTGGGCAGAAAGTTGCATGCCCTAACGCAGTATGTGGCTCACAGCAAATAGCACTGCAGTGACTATGCATGTCTGTCGGCTTTCTCTCTATATATATACCCTGAGCAAGGATTCTTCTCATCTCATACATCATTCACAATCCACTGCAGTGATTCCCTGAAGTCTGTCTGTACCTTCAGCACAATGAAGAAGAAAAAGAAATGGGCTGCTTGAAAAAGGATGCCTTGTCTCCCTAAAAGACTGGCATTTCACTGCTGCAAACCCCCTGAGGCTGTATTTTTAGCAGAGCCTCAGTAATAGATTGCCTGTTAAGGCTCTAAATGTGAAGAACACAACAATACTGGGGATGCACATTCAGTCCTTTTGTCACTTACTCCAAATGCATCCCTTTTGCAATTGTAGCCAAGAAGAACTTCTAAGACCAGAAAATGCTGTTTCATGTTGTAGGTCTTCTAAGAGCAAAACTGAACTACCCAAAACATGGCAAGAAAATAATTCATCAAAGCTGTGTTGAATACTAGAACTGTGACTGCTAGTGTGCTTTACTTCCTGTTCTCATTCATTTTATTGACATCATTGAGGAATAATAACTTTGACCAATTGAGTATTTTGGCAGCCAGCAAATAATTGTGCGATAGGCTGTTCATCAAAAGCCTTACAAATTAACAGTTACACTCACCTGTTTTGTGTCAGGAGTCATTAGGTTTAAACTGGTGGTGGAGATATTCAGCATTATGCTCATTCCTGCAAACTGAAGATTGCTCTTTCCCAAGATGCTAGAAAGAACTTTGCTTGCTGACTGTGAAGGGTGAAAAAAAGCACATTTTTGTACTCTGCTTGTTTGGGATGACCTTCATTGTATGCAGAGTTAGCTGTAGTCTTAAAGGTTTCTAAAAAGTTGCTGACTTTTCAAAGCTCATTTCATTGCACCAGCTGTTTTCCTCTGGAGATATTTTTTTAATAATAATAATAATAATAGCAGCAGCTAGGCAGGCATTCATCCACTCTTGACCTAACAAAATAGGGTTTTGTGAGATAGCAAATTCTCACCTTCACCAAGGGACCAATTGAGCAGACAATGATGAATGCCTTGAGTCAGTAGCTTAAAATAGCAGGTTCTTATTCTGTAAAAAACACTTCAACTCCTGAAAACAAATCTGTTGCTTGCTCTGCTCTAGTAGCTTCCCAGATGGAAAGGGCAACTCCAGTTATACTGAAGGAATGCTGCTGTATTTGTATTTGTCCCAAGCTGCCTGCAAGCTTGGAAAGATTTGTCCCCAGCAAGATGGACACACTTGTTCTTCTTCACTCCTTAAAGTTTACATTTATTCAATTTTAGTTTCTTTTCCTTCTGTTTAAGTGGATAAAAATATGCTACCTACATATTGCTTCCACGTAACATTTGTGCTGCACTATTTTTACTTTGTCATGTTACAGTGCTAGTACCTCATTAACTTCTCTTTAAAACAAGCCATTTTGAATATTCTTGTTTCTCTTCTTTCCTTAAACCTTCATGATTCCCAGCTCATGCCTAAGGATCATCTGACCAGTATGTGGGTAAAGTGTGAAAACCTGGCCTCAGGAAGTACATCTCAACCATATTCATAACCCACTAGTGGCAAAACCATGATGAAAGTAAAGACTGGCAAAGGATACCAGTCTCTACCATTCATGTGAAATTCTGTGGCTGGGCAATTTTTCTTCTCATCCAGTACACTTCAAAAACACTATATTTTTTCCAATAACTCATAAGCAACATTTCTTCTAAAACCAGTAATACAGTGAGGTGTCTCACTAGGCACTTGGGACTCTGTTTAACTTACTTTTGCAATGATATTTTATGTCATTTTGTTTTCCAAGAAAAATATTTTCCTCTTTACCATCAGGTATAAAAAACAAAAGCCAGAGAACCTAGAAATACTAACGAAGTGAATTTGGTGAATTTGGGAAAACCACAACCTTAATTTCTGAGGCAATTTCCAGTTACACTGTAATACATGCCTTATTTTACCAGGGGAAGATTCTCCATTGCAAACAAGTGGCATTTCACCCCATCCCTTTCTGTTGGGATTCTGCCTAGTTAGTGAAGTAGGTGGGGAAGCAGGCAGACCTTTCCTTCACCTGCCTGTTCTCCTCTTGCACCCAACACCATCTACAAGGGATACAATTAACTGCTATTCTCCTTCCCTTAGCATTTAATCCTAGCTTTGCTAGCCAGCCTCTGAAAGAGCCAGCAGTACAAGACTGTTGGAAGCTACCAATGCAAGAGTTGAGCTGAAGTTTCCTCCACTCCTTGTCACAGAATTAGAATCATTTAGGTTAGAAAGGGCCTTTAAGATCCAGTCCAACCTTAAACCTAACACTGCCAAGGGATGGGGACTTACTTAACCACTGCCCTGGGCAGCCTGCTCCAATGCTTGAAAACCCTTTTGGTGAAGAAATTTTCCCAAATATCATGCAGATTCTAGCTTGTATCACACAAATAAGAATAAAAGCATGGTAACAACCATGTTAGGCCAATGTCCACCAGACCCACCATCAGTTCTGGACACTGAGAATCATCTATAGAAAGAGCATAGAAAACAGAGGATCATCTGTATGTTCTCTCAATTTCCAGAGATCAGTGATTTCCAGACTCATTAAATGTCACCAGTAGAGCTATACTGCAAGAACAGATTTAATCACTTTCAAAACTATGCATATTTTGGCCTCTGCAAGAGCTTTCAGCACATATTTCCACAATTTATTCATGCATTTTATGAAAAAGCATCCCTTTTGTTTGTTTTAAGCCTTCCACCTTCAATCTACAAGAGAGAGAAAAGGACGGAAGGAGGGGGTTTCTATAGTAGGAACTTAAAGGCAAGTCACAATATTTTCCTACATGTCCTATGTACTTCTGGATGCCTATAAAAGCAGATCCTGACCAAAAGGGCAAGAGGCAACATACAGTGGGTGAAAACAATCAATATTTTAAATGATTAATGATCTGGAATTCTCAAAACTCCTTTAAAGTCACCTGCCTGCTTGCCTGGTCTCCTCTGTGTTGAACTAAGAAAATACAGTCACCTGCACTGCAAGGAAAGAAAAAATACCTTTCGTTTCTTGAAGGCTCCTTTGGCACCAGGCATGGCTTCACAAACACGACTGATCGCTTCCCTGAAGAGACAGAAAAAAAGCTTTATGACAAATGAATGTGTGGGTTGCTTCATTATACTTGAAATGAACTGGGAGAGAATAGCTTCAGACCATATTTCTGTTTACAAGTGAGGATAGTTTAGCAGGTCAGTTAGCTCTCTTCTCAAGGCTAAAACAGCTGCCAGTCAAATTTAGAATACCTCAGTGTGAAGCAGAAGTCAGTAAATAGTCAGTGTAAGGAAGAGTATGAAGAGTATCTTGAGAGCTACAAAGGATGGTGTTTTCTCACACTATTACAAAGACTTTTTCTCATTGCAAATTAGAATATCCATCTAATTACCTCCTTCCAGGTCTCATTTTTGTACCTTATTAAGCCATGAAGCTTATCTGCTCATAAGACCGGCCTTTAATCAACATTGCTTTAAAAGTTTAGGGTATTTTTTTAATCTTTCTTGTAATGTAAGGGGTAGTATTTATTATTTTTGCCACTACTATACTATGCACTTTTCTAGTCAGAGCAAAAACACCTGGCTTAGGTTAATATAAGAACCCCAAAATGTTCATGGTTGTTGTATACAATACACGCAATGTACAAAATTTTAGTTGACATTTATTCAATATTGAGTAATTTATTTGTGGCCCTATTTGTATTTTGTGAGCAGAATTAATGCCACTAAGATTTTGCTTCAGTTTTCTAATATTGCTTCATTCTTCCCATCAAACTTGGGAAGAAATGCATGTTGAAAATGAATTTAAATTCATGCCTTCTCACAGAAGAGTAACTGTATACTACAAAAGCTCTTGAAATCATACTGCTACAAACAAATCTTATAGACATTTTCAGTATTTAACAACTTATTATCTGAACAGTCAGCCTGGTCAGTATTTAGAATTTCCTTCCATGCATGCAGAGACCTTCCTGTGACTGTTAGCTACAAAGCTGTAACAGACCTCTCCTGTTGATAAGACAGACCTCTCCATAAGACAGAGCAGCTGCACAGAGATGAGTAAAGGTAACTCCAAACCTTGTTTAACTGTTTTAAATACGGATTGAGACTAACAGCATATCATACTTGGACCTGAAAATATGGAAGTAACATTTATTTTATGCAAAAAATAAAAATACAGAATGGGGGACAATGAACTACAGAATGGGGGGACAATGAATTACAGGCTAAAAAGTAATCAAAATAATCAAAACCTTGAAACATCACCTTGATAAAAACATAAATAATTTTAATTTTTTTGCCATGTGCAGGATGATATTTCAGATAGGCATTAGGTGATTACACAAGACCAACAGGTGAGTCAAGACAGAAATGTCATATACATATCAGCATTCAACATAAAATGGCTTAGCAAATGTCACAGATTTATCTGGTTGCAATCAGTAATCACTATATAGTTATGATTTTGGTTCTTTTACTTAGGGCCCAAACCAAAGCTTGAATCACCTGGAAGAACGTCATGAATATATTATTTTTGCTGGTGGGTGGCTGTGGGTGTGGGACACACCTTGCAGCAGGTTTAAAGTCTGTCATTCTGAAGAAGCATGAGATTTATAGTAAGAGAACAGTCAAAAAAGCTCGCAGGCACACAGTCCTCTCTTCAGGATGAGAGAAGAGCTTATTTGTTCCTCTGTTCCTCTGCTTGTCTTTTTTCTTTTATTTTTCTTTTCCCAACTACATCTGCTCATCTAACAAATGGTCTTTCACTACAATCCCTGCCTTGCATATGTCCTCAGACCATCACGGATACAACAGCACTCCATCGTAAAATTCAGGGCTTGTATTTAGTTTCCACATTTACCACAATGCTTTTTTGACTCCAAACCAGTGTGTTAGTTAAACTAGCTACAGAACAAGTAAAAATCAGTAGGTTTAAAAGAGCAGCTCTAATGCATCTTACAAATACAACACAGCCAGCATCAACATAGAGTGATCATCATGATATTGAAACATAAGTTACTCCTGAAAATGTCATCATGAAATAGAAATATTCTTCTTCTCCACCAAAAATGCTTTTCTCTGACTCAGGAAAAGCAAACAGACATCGTGTTATACAGAGGCAACCTCTCAGCCTTGCTACTGAGCTAAAACTTGTGGTTTGCCATCTCCTTCTTGTACCAAACCAAATCCTTTGGAGGCAATGGGGTGGGAAGTCCATGCCTGTGGCAGTCCCCAGCCCATTGCTGTCTTTCAGACCCATGCCTCTTGCTTCACCCCATGTTTCTGAGCTTTCCAGGCATTCTGGCCTCAAGTTGCTGACACGGAGGCGTCATCAAGCATGCCTCTGTGCCTTCATCCTCTCTCTTTCCTCCAGTGGTCGCATTAGCAGTCTGAGACCCCTTTTTGCCTCTCACAAAAAGAATTTGTATTTCAGAGATATGAACTGTGCTTGAGGATAAATTCATCTGTAACTTCCTTTCTCTTCTGATTTGCCTCCACCATCTTCTGTGTTTAGCAGCAACATGAATCAGGTAGGAAGGAACGGGAATTTTCAGTCCACGGCAGCTGAAAAAAAACATTTACAAGCTTGTTGCTTTTCTGGGCCAGGACTTGGATTTGTAGTGGTTTTGTCACTAACTCTTCTGCCTCTCAGATCCTGATAAACAGACATAAAGCATGTCACTCAATAGACTCATCTGACTCAAGGACCTTGTTGATCAAAACTGCCACTTGAGAGTCAGAGAGGAAATGCTCCAGCTGAAAAGGCTGAAGCCCAGAGCTGAGGTATTTTAAGGCAACCTTGGTTACTGTTTGTACATCTGCCTCGGCAGTGTGGCAAAAGCAGTGAACAGCTGAAAAGCCATCCAGGATGTATATACTCTCACTCAGTAACAAAGTGCGGTAGATTTTCCAATTGCCTGTCTTCCACTTCGTAAAATATCTCAGATTTACCAAACTCAGTACTCCCAAATTCTGCAGGATGACTGGAAGCAGGGAGAAGGACCTGATAAAGGTGACAGCTTGTTGAAATACATGTCAGATGAGGCAGGATATCTGAGTTTGAACTTGACGATTCTTTTAACTTCATTTTTTGAAATTCTGTGAATACTAAAAGTACTCAAGCAACCACAAGGTTTAAGTTAACAATGCTTATGGTGCAAATTATGGGAACTTAGAAAAGATATTCATAGAGCAACTCTGCCTAAGCGAGGTCAGAGCGACCTGGCACCAACTGTTTGTGTACCTGCAACAAAAGGCAAAGTACTTTTCCCATATGGGAGTTAAGGAGTCTTAAAAAAGTATCTGATGAAAACAAAAAGGATGGATGTATATCTGCCACCACACTGATAGGCCACAGCACTTTTTCCAAGGGAAGATTTGCAGATCATTTTGTTCAGAATGTTATAGATCATTTGGGGATCTTACACATATAGACTGGTGATGTGGAAAAGACATCCTAAAGGCTTCTTTCTAGCTTGCATGGCCAAGTAGCACTGGGCAGATGTAAGCTGAAACAGATATTGCTACTAGGTTGAGAATACTGCACTTGACATGTGCATGCAAATGCTTGTCTAAGGAAGGCAAAAGCAGAACTTCTAGCTGTACCAGCATGGCTAAACAGTTGCATAGAGTTCGGAAAAGTTGCATGTGGCCACATTGGCTTCCTTATCAATGTGTAAGTTATTTGACATAAACACACATTACACCTTTCTAAGCCTCATGCCATTTCATTAGCTAGGCTCAGAAAAAATACCAGTGTAGAGTTGTCTTGATTTCTTGTAAAATTAGCTACTGTGCTGTCTGCAGTAGGGACCACAAGCTGAGTTCCAAATCTGTCCAAGAGTATTTTCTGCTTTGCAGATGGCCGCACTGTGGAGTCATTTTCTTGGCACAAAACATGTTGTGTATTTTGAATATAATTTCAGCATGCAAATATATCCAGTAAAAAATTACCAATATACATTTTCTGAGGCTGACCTATTCTCCTTTAAAGTGACTTGACATCTTTCTGAGACAGAGAAAAAAGATATTTTACATTGGTATTTTGTTCCATTCAAAAGGCTAATGCCCTGATATTTTTCATAACTTTAGTCATATTTTACTCTGTTATATAAAGTAGCCCACTCAGGAAGCTCAAATCTGCTCCTCTATGAAACACCATCACATGAAAATACCCTCCTTTCTTGTGGTTTCAAACATATTTTTTGGCTGTGATGCTAGGTTTTGTTGTTGCTAGTTCTAATTAGTAAGATTTAATTGATTAAAAGACAGAATTCTGTCTCATATTTCAGGGAAATGACAGGCACAAAATTGCACATATTTTCTCAAGATATTTGGAAAAAGTATAGCCATCTCCAATATTGAGATAGGACACTGTGACTAGTTTTTATTCTGAAATGTTTTGTATGACAGTACTGAAAACCTACCAAAATTCTCTCATTAGTATTTTCTACTATTCTACAGCTCTCAAGTTTATCTTTGCCACCTCCAAAGTGTAGGACTTCACAGGTTAAAAAAACAGGCACCAAAAGATTGACTTTTTGAATGAAAGTATATGCTTACAAGAATTGTACAGAAGGCTTCTAGCTAATTTTTCACAGTAGTATATTCTTGCCATTTTTTTATTAATAATTTATAAATCATTACCAAGTGTTGTGTCAGTATTTGCTGACAAGAAGCAAAGTCTATACAAAATATAAAAATAAATTGTTTCTGAAAAAGAAAAAAAAATGGAGGCCAAAAATACATTTTCAGAAATCCATTTAATACTTGAAATATTCTTGTTCATTTGCAAAACAGGCAAAATGAGTGTCTACTGTCTTGAATAGCACAGGGGACATTCACAGGCTCTGAAGACTGAGCCAGTATATTACCTTTTACTGAGGTTTAAACACAAACTGGCAAATCAGCCATGTCTGGAATATATTAAGCTAGAGAAGTAGCTAAGGAAAACAGAACAGAGAGTATGGACAGGAAGGGGAAGCTGTGTGGCATGGAATGTGCCTATTGCCATGAATTCAGACTACTGTGCAGGCCACACCCTGGCAGTGGAGCCCCCAAGGGAGTGGTGCA